CAAGGCTGTTTTCCCACACAAAGGCATCATGGCTAGCACCACCATACTTAGGGTTAATGTTCATAATTAGCCCCCTGTGATCACAAACCTAGAAACAATGACGTAACATTACTTAAGCTATGAAATAAATAAATATAAAACTATGAAGCTTTTGATTGTTTAGATTGTATTAGTGCATTATTAACACTATGTTTATAAAATTATATATTATTATTACCATTTGAACATTTATCGAATGATAGTGCTTGCGGCAGTAAAATAAATGTTCTACATCCTTTTTGGGCTTGACAATCCTAAAGTGTGAGCCATCTACACATCCCAACACTCCAGGAAACCCGTACATATTATAGAAACTAAAAAGACAAACAATTATAATTAACAAGTCATCTACTAGCAAGTGCATGAATATGATTTTAGGTTCAACAGTAATATACCTTTGTTTCACTTGTTCTCTAGCTTCCCGTGTCGTAGGGAACTTAATGAAGTTTTTTAAAACCTCTGGGTGGTTTAGTGCTTCAGTCACTTGGTGGACAAAGCGGCTGATGGCTTCTTGAGAGTAACAATTGGCCATGCCAACCACCCTTTGGTAGTCGCCATTGGCATAAAATAATAATGCGCAGAGTACCTAAAAGAAATCAGAAATTGTACTTTTTATATAACCTACTTGTGTATTTATTAATGTAGATGATAATAAGTCACTCACCTTAGTTTCTAGTGAGACTCTCTGAGAGCTTCTTAAATTAGTAAGATTTCTAAGTGTCTCACATAGAAACTTGTAGGCTTCTTTTGTCAGCCGATATCTTTGGACAAAATGGGTGTCCGATATTAAGCTTGCGCTCAATAACTTTCGCCGCAAAAGAAGGTTTTTACGCTCTTCTTCACGGCGATCCATTTCAGCGGCTTCTGCCGTCATTCTCCAAGCAAAATATCTTCTCGCAGCCATTAAATTATTTAAATAAATGTCACAAGTAAATATTTTGGCACCCAAGTCGCGAGGTTTTTTGTCTATCTCACCGATTAATATTTAGTGAGTTCTAAAACGTTTACGTTGGACGAGATCGAGACGCTTTTCTCTCGCAGACTTGTCAATATTGTAACTCGTACTGCCAATTTGTCGAGAACTGTCAAAATTTCTCGTTAGCGCTCACCGTTTACGGATACTTTTTACGTTAAAGCAACTCATACTACCAAATTTAGTTCCTCTACGTTTCCGATAGGGGCGCTGCTAATTTATGAATGAAAATTAACGTTTCGTTAGAACGTAACGTTTGCTGTCAAAACTCATACTAAGGGTACAGAGGCCTTCTTTTTCGTTTAAAGTAATAGTACGCGTTCGGCGTTCTGATTGGCCGGCTCTAATGAACCAACCAATCAGAGCACAGAACGCCGTCTCGTTTCGATTACTTTAAACGAGAAAGAAACTTGTACTAAGCCCTCTGACATTTTGTTCAGAATAGTCCATGTCATGTAATAACGCCAATTATATGCAGCTGACATTTCTTTCAAGACTCCTTTGTTTCCATGAAAGACGAGCCATGGTAACGGCAAGTTACTTTTAACAACAAAGCTGAACAATTATTTATCTTATATATATAAAAGAAAGTCGTTTTAGTTACACCACTTATAACTCAAGAACGGCAGAATAGATTTGGCTGAAAATTAGTAGGGAGGTAGCTTAAAGCCAGGAGACCGACATAGGATACTTTTTAACCAAAACTTTTTTTTTACTTTGTTCCTAAATCACGAACGGTGACGGGAAAAATGGGATTATGCGTACGAAGTCGCGGGCAGAAGCTAGTTACCTATAATTGCGAACTACGTTAGTAATTGCTATCAGCTAAGTCCGTCGCTTTTATGGTAGGTATATAGGTAATTCTTGATAAGTTTTTTTTTATAGGATAAGCTGGTAAACATGTATACGGATCATCTGATGGTATGTATGGTAAGCAATCGGCGTCGCCCATGGACACTCGGAACACTAGGAGCGTTACAAGTGCGTTACCGGCCTTTTGGGATTAGAAGAATTTTTGGGGATTCAGGGATTGGGGAGATCGGGGTTTATTGGGCCTCCGGTAGCCTCAATCAACAATAAGCGTTGTTTCACATCGATTTTCTGTATCACTGGGCCGAGGTATCACTCCGGTCGTGCCAGCCCATTCGTGCCTAAGCATAGCTCTCCCACACTTAATTGTGATAATTTGCGCAATATAAATTAAAAACATGTTTGTTTACCATTGACATATATCAAAATACCTATCTAATGTTTGTATTAATACGAAATTTAAAATATCAGCACACTTAATCAACTGCACTGTGTCTAGTGTACCTAATGCGTTGTGAAAATAAAATGTAAAGCGAACGAACACATTTGTCAACCGACTTCTTATATCTGAGCTTGATTCAAGGTAATTCAAATCAATTAGGACATTGTTACTGTCCACATCTGCTGACCCAGATACTACAGGCACGATTTAAAATACCTTATATTTGTAAACGGTAAATCTACAAAGTATAGATAGGAGATACCCATCATATGATGATGTATCCATCCATAAGTTGACTGTAATTTAAGTTAATTAAAAATTACAAAGTATCATAACGAAAATCCCGAAAATTTGTTCATACAAAAAAAGTCTCTAAGTCTCGGAAATAAGGTCTATAATGGAGTTAGTGAAGGGTCACCGGTAACCGCTTGGGAATTAAACAGTTAAGACTAATTAATACAAGTTATAAATACTGTATCATTCTTAAATAATGGTAAGCAGTAAAATCTCGGATTAAACCGAATTATCTAAGACTTCGTGTACCAGGGCCGCAGAACACGACAGGAGCACAATTTAAATTGCGAAATGCGTTGGCGCCAGGAGCTGTACGCACTAACAAACCTGTCTACCTCCCTTTCTAACACAAAACTGCAGTTCTACGCCAGAAAGAGAGTGATATATGCAGTCGCTTCAATTAGCGTTATCCTTGTCTCCCTTAAGGAACTTGACCAGTGACAAATTAAGTCCTATAACTGAATGTCATGGTCATACATATTATGCAATACAAGACATATATACAACGTAAATATATATAAACGTACCTTTCAAGTTGGCAGTTTTATTATTGCAATGGAAATATAGTTGCTAGAGTAGCCGTACAATATATTTGACCCTTTTACTATGTACCTCGTGATACGATAGACCACCAGTTAGACAGAAGTCTCCCGACTTCTCTGAATGATCAATGGCTTTACGAACTTTCCGAGCGCTTAAACTCGTAAGACATTATTAATGAGGATGATGACTCAATTAAAAATAAAGTAACTTTTACTTTTTCATAGCACTTCATTTAGGTAGTCAGGTTGCAAAAACTCTGCAACCTTTAGTGACTTTACCCATACCTTTCTAAGGTCACGCTACACTACTGCCGACAACTGAAGTGAAAACAATGGCAATAAACTAGTCCTATAGGTACACGTATTATACTCTTGTGTGGGAGAGCCATGCTTCGGCACGAATGGGCCGGCTCGACCGGAGTGATACCACGGCCTCATAGAAAACCGACGTGAAGCAACGCTTGCGTTGTGTTTCGTCGTGTGAGTGAGGTTACCAGAGGCCCAATTACCCTCCCCTTCCCCAATCTCCCCATCCCTAAATTCCCAACGATCCTCAAACTCCTAATCCCCAAAAGGCCGGTAACGCACTTGTAACGCCTCTGGTGTTCCAGGTGTCCATGGGCGACGCCGATTGGTTACCATCAGGTGATCCGTATGCTCGTTTATCGACTTATGCAATAAAAAAAAATTGCACTTTTGAACACGTTCATAAGTGCTTTCCTGGTCTAATTGAAATAAATGATTTTGACTTTGACTTTGACATTAGTATTCGACACATAGTTAAAGATCAGTAAAACTATTTTCCAAGTTAGTATCATTTAATTTTCAATTCAGTGAAACCATAGTGAAACCGATGTTAGGGATGAAAATACTATAAATAAAACAGAAACCCCCAGTAATCAACGAGGTATTGTAAAATACAACCTCTAATAAACAAAATGAATAATAAATTAAAATAAATAAACAACACAACATAGTCCACAACGAGTTTATTTATTTATTCAGATATAGAATAAACAATCATTTTACAAACAGTGTTACTACACAACATTAATTTGCTAATACTAAATTTCAAATACGATCACAAGGTAGTCTTAGAGAAGAGGTAGGTTTTGAAAGGAAACACGTGGCTTAGGTGTTTGGGTGGTCGACAGGGGATTACAACATCAATACAGTAGGGTACAGTCATACAATAAACACTTATTACAATTACAAATCCATCTACTACGTACTCACAATATCAATAACAATAAAAAGCCAACTAACAAGAAAAGTTCAGCAAACTACGCAAATACTATGGAGTAACAGTGTTTGTGCTTCCCACTCCAACCTCAGCACCAATAACAAAATAAATATGAAGTATTTGGAAACCTAATTTAAGTACTTAGTACATTTATTATAAATAAATAAATTCCACAGCCACTCCAGTACGACAATCGAACAAAGCCAGCCCTATAGAATGCGGATAGTGTAATTCATTTTACTTTTTGATCTAACAAAATAAAATGGTTCTTAATCCTAACTCTGTTAATGGAAATGTTCCCCGATATAAATAAACGGTTAAGACGTCACAAAAATGCAACGCCCAACCGTTATCAGTTATCAGTCAAACCTTAAAGTAGAATAAACTTTGTTCAAAAATGGACGTTTCTGTTACAATGTGTCGGTGAAATTATTGTTTACTTCGACAACTTAGTGCCAGATAGAAATATCAAAAAAGATAACATGGTATACAACTTGTGTCACCAGGTTCAGTTTCAAAAGTATTGTGCATCACAACCAGATTGTTTTTTAACGCGATATGATACATTCCTATGACTATGGGTTACTTTTATTTCAGTTACTCGAAACAAAAATCACAGTGATGTCACGCATAGTACCCAGACGCAAGAAGTAAGCTAGTACTTATACGAACAAAACTGTTAAATAAATTATAGATTGTATTATTGTACAACTTAACCTATATAAATCTAATTGGTAACAAAAATGCCTCCAGATGAAATTATATTTAAAATAACTTAGAATATTCTGCATCGTTGTAAATCAGCAACAGAATTTACAGTTCATTATTATGTTTAGTAAGATTAGATAATACTACTACGGTTGACGACAATCATCTATTCTGAACTACTTGATAAAATGCATGTGTATCTCGGGTCGTAGTAACCCGGGTATGAGGTCACTAGGGCACTTCACTGTGCACAGACTCGCGAATAGTCAAGTATATCGTCAAATCATTGAATGAAAGTGTGATTATTTTTGAATATTTAATTGCATTGAAAAATTTAAATGATTTATTTTTGGGAAACTATCCAATTACATGCGAGCACGCATTGCCACATGATGAACCAAACTCGGAAAACCCCGTTTCTATGACCCGACATTCCTAAATTTAAACACACATCGATAAACATCTATTGAAACATCGATATCCATCAAGTTGAGCTACTAAACACTGAATTGAATACACGTAAACATTTATTATGACTATTACGAATGTATTAATGGGAATTATTTGAGAATGTCAAAATTGGCCATGAAATCGCTGTTGAATATTGTGTACTTGAAGCTGGACCACACCTGAGCCACGGTTGCTAAGGTCTATCTGAAGCTGTTCGTCTTGTACTGCTCGTAGATCTCCTGGAACATATTCCTGCAGTTCATCTTGATTTTGAGCTTGGAGCAGAGGAGGAAGACTCCAGAAAGCTTGCGGTGTAAGGAGTATATTTCCTCTGGTGGTGGGCAAAGCCGGTGCGTGAGTATAGTGGGCACGAGGGCCTGGATGCGGCGCGTTGTCTGCTGTGTGCCGAAATCGAACTCCCCTGCACTCTCGCTCGTGAACACCTCTCCCATTATCATCACCGTGTCAATGTGCGTCTCCTCCATGATCTGGAAAACAGATATTAATATTATGATTTTTCTCAACGTTCGCATGATTTTCGTATTAATTACAACTCTTATACAGTTAATAGCTTGTCAAAGAGCCAGCATCTGAACATTACATCTCTTTAGCAAAATGACACCATTTAGCTTCTGATTTTAAAAGATTTTCTTTATAAGCACAAACCTTCGACTCGTATCCAGTGAGGAACTTCATCTCGCGTGACATTTCGAGAATGGCCTTCCTGTCACCGCGGGAAGCAGCGTGGATGATCTCAATGTACTGGTCCATGAAATCCTTCGAGTACTCCCGAGTGGCGCCAAAATCTAACAGGATAACCTGTAAGGACATTTCAGAGAATTTTAGTACTTATGAACAATTAGTATAATAATCATAAATAAAGTAAATAAATCGTCTACTGTATCGTCGGCTAACTGAGTACAGTCAAGTAAGTACACATATAATTATGTTTTACTGACTTTAGGTTTAAAATGTAGCATCTAACCAAAACATGTGCTGCTAGGCTATTCCCTAAATGTCAATTCGATTTTTCGAAGTTAGCTCGATCGCATATCCCCCTTCATTGGTCGAAATTATTCTCACAACCAATCGTGTTTACTTCAATCTTTCGAATTAACAGTAACGGATAACCTACCTGTACTAATATTTACTGTAATCATACTGGACTATACAATACATATACAGTCATCTACGAGATTGAAACCGATTTTAGACATATTTTTATAGAATTCCTTCCAAGAAAGATTTTGGGTTGAAATTTGTTATTAATTCGGCTAATAAATAACCTACCTGTTTAGTATTCGGGTTGTAGAAGAAATTGGCCCAGTTAGGGTCGGTCTGCATGCAACGCAGTACAAACATCTCTCGCAAGCAAAGCTGCATGATCTTGTAAGCGATGTCAGCCCGGACCTCGTACTCCGCGTCAAACAACTTGTCTAGCGGCACGCCGTCTATCAACTCCGTTGTTATCACTTCAGGAGCGCAGAGCTCATCTGGAAATGAAATAAAATTATCTAATTGTACATCACACATGTTTCTACATTCATAAATGATTATGAATTTTGCACCACAAGTTCTTAAGTTTATAAATTCGCTATATTTAAATTTAATTAATCGGTTATTGTTAGCGATTTAAGTCAGCGGTGTAGGTTAAGATTTACATAAAAAGTAAAAACAACTAAGTATTTTCGCGTGAATTTATTATAGTTATTTACTTGCTATATTTTTATATTTTAACTCTAATTCGCATTTATATAATTAGTTAAGACTACGTATTAGTCGCAACGTAGCAAGCAAATTCAAATTCGCATATATTATATTATTATCATATTTTTACTGACCAATGACCTCAGGGACGAAGTACTCGGGATACGGAGCGAGCAGCTTCTTGAACTTCCTGGTACATTCAGCCTCACGCAAGTAATCTACTTCCCAGGCAAGCTCTTTCTTAGCAACCTCTACTATGTTGTCTATGAACATACCCTTGGGGAATATGTTCCATACCTGGAATGGATAAGGAAAGACTAGAACTAGGTCCACTTCGGCTATTCGACTGGGTCATTATCGTAACTATCAAGCGAATTCCTTGAGAGTACTGCCTTAAGTAAAGATCCGGTAAAATTATCATATCCAAGGACAATTTACTGGATTCCATTTTTTTAGAACTGTGTAAATCTCTACATTTTCAGTATGGCATATATGTATGGATTCGGTATATGGAGAAAACTCTATTACCAGAGACTTTAACATAAATGACTAAACGTAGAACTAAACTATAATTTCATACGAAATATACCAACTTGATTCTAAAATGCTCTATCATGATCTTTAGACGTTACCTTCATGACTCCAACCAGGTTGTCAATGTCGCTGTTGATGCCCTTAGCAACGCCCGGATACTGAACCTTGACCGCAACCTCCTTACCATCGTGAAGCACTGCCAGATGTACCTGGCCTGGACAACCATAATTTTACAGTAAATTAAAGTACAGTAGGATGCAGTAATTAAATAAAAGTAACTATCTTATGTAACAGTGGCGTAATTTCCTTTCAACTAAACGTGGAAGCCGTACCAATAGAAGCAGCCGCGAACGGTTTGTCTTCAAAGCTAGCGACTCTGTGTCTCCACTCCGGACCCAACTGAGCGCTCATCACCTTCTCCACTTGCCACGATGGCATGAAGTCCGCAGACTGACGGACGCGTTGGAAAATGCGCTGCAACTCCGGAGATATCATCGAATCATCTTGAATACTCAGTAGCTGACCAAGCTTGAGGGCAGCACCTGAAATAATTTACACCGTAAATTAACTAATCCTTACTTATATTATAAATCGGAAAGTGAGTTTGTTTGTTTGTTTGTTCCACTTTAACGCCGTAATTACGAAGAAGTCCGGATTAAATAATAGGGTACTTTTTATCCCGAAAAAATTTGATATTCCCGAGGGAAAACAAGTATTGGTATAGATGGCGCTGTGTGTATTGGTATATGTCACAATGGCTTTTTATCCTTTTGTGACGCGAGCGAAGCCACGGGTAAAAGCTAGTAGAAAAATAAAAAGCAAATATAAAAATTGGGCAAGTTTTTATGTTCCCATTGTACCTCGAACTTTGCACAGCGTATCGACGATCCTTTCAGCATTCGCTGGCGATAAGAACGCATTAGCGGACTCATCGACTCGTCCCGTCACAGACTGCAATGTATTCCTAGCATACTGGGCTACGGTTCCCACGCCCAGCCCGGCTGCCAAAGATCCGAACGAGAACATCCGTCCGATACGCGAAGAAGGCACCACTCGTGGCTTCGAGTTCTCACTCAACTGTAATCACATTTATGTACACAGACAGATGAGAACGTTCTTGAAACAATAAATAGTGGCACAAGTAATACATATTTTAAACTTACAGCTACTCTGATCTTCTTCTTAGCCACAGGCTTAGGCCCCAACGAGTTACTAGAGGACGAAGAATCAGAAGGGCTTGGACTTGGCATAGGCGTGTCTATCCACACAGATGCGGGGTAAGAGGAAGCCACCACCCGAATAGTGTCCTGCATCTGGCGGTCTTTAGCCTCCTGTATGCGATCGTGCAACTCCTCGATGGGAGCCGAATACTGAGACGGGGCAATGGGCGTGACAGCGGGAGCCGGGGGCGGCGGAATATCAATGCTCTGAATCTTCTTCAGTGTATCGAAGGTTCTGTTGAACTCCCTGTTTAACTCTTCAATCTCTTCTTTCATCTGCTGGTCGATTTCGGGGACCGGCACGTTGGCACTCATGTTTGGAACTTGTAGCACAGCGAACTGTCGAAGACCGTGCGCAACTACAAAGGCCCTTTCCACGATCTCTTTCGCCGAAGGTGGGTTAGGATTGAAGGCTAGTGGGTTAGTCGGACAGTTGGAAAGTATTTGCTTCAAGCTAGAGTTATTCCATAGTATACTTGATACTTCTTGCTGAGTTTTCAAACCCGCTTCCGCCACTAAACGGAGCCCGCGCAATACGCCTATTAGATCATTAATGTGGGACATGTCCTGAAATATTAGTTCGGTTATATACATATTTATTTATAATACATACATAATTAATAATTATATACAATAATGGGTATAAATTTAATGAATATATTAGCAAATAATGCAAAGACGTTGATCTAACATCGAATGTTGCGTACACGTCACTAAATTCATCTTATTCCTCGAGTCATGAGTGATTCGAAAAACCTGTAAAATCTTGTGTCCTATCTAAGAGGACATCTTCAGCGATATACCTACATACCTCCCGCAATTTCCATAATAAAGGCCGGCGTGCCTCCCATCACTAGGCGAGTCTAGGTACTACTTATATTTATGTGTCCTTGTCTATTCGACCTTTACTAAATGTCACCTACACACAGCACTTCCTACGTGCTATCGACAACAACACCTACATATATACTGGGGAAACCGGACGTGCATAATAAGACTGAACGCATACTGCGTCAAAACACGTTTCATTTACAGGACTAACTTTTTGAACTCAAACTTTTCTTTAACATTCTGTTTGTCCAAGGCGTAAATATATTTGATCATTAATCACTTTCATTTAGTCAATCATTATGTTATGCAGTTTATTTAATTTCATACAATGATGTCATATTTTATCTTATTTATACGTTAATACGTTGCTTTGTAGGTTAGTCTTTATTCACAATAAACATCGTGAAAGAAGCCGATGTAAAATTGTGAATTATTATGAAAACTTATAAAAGTTTGCGGCCGGAAACAAAAGCTTGCGAGTTACTGTGCGGCGGCCTTTACTTCGGAGAATCCTGTAGGGACGATCGATAGCTCGCAATGTAGCCCGTTTAATTAGGACTCGAGCTGACGGCGCATGCGCGAGGACTAGATGACCTAGAATGCAGTTCAAAGTACGACCCCTGGCAATATCCCTAGGCAACAGCTCATGACCTGATTTCCCATAAAACTTAAAAATAGCTCATATATAAAAATTCCATCAGATTACACAGAATTAAAAGAAACGACATTTGAAAGCTTCTTCAATATTCAGTTTAAAGATGGTTTACATAGCAACAGGTAGTTGATAAGACCGAGGGCAAAGAAACTGGATTCTTGTCACGCTATTGTATACAAAGATGCTAATATCAATTTTAAGAAGGCCTTTATCTTCTGAACCCCTTTAGATAAGGTATTAAAGACTAAGACTAAGTACACTTTCCTTTCTTCATAAAAAGCTGTCCGAGATTAGCGGAGACGGAAAATCCTTTGTTTCTGACGATGACAAACCAAGTGCACGGTGATGAAAAACAGAAAATATTTCCACAGTAACGATATATAATATATATATATATCTCAAATCTCCTATGAATCCCTAAAAATATATTTTGTACTCACCATTCAGAGCCGATGATTGGTTGTTGTTTCCTCCGTTGGCAACAGGTGGCAGGGGTGGGTTGGGAACCGGAACCTCAACCGTTATGACCACAATCTCAACGGATTTTTTTTCTTCTGGATAAGCCATTATAGAACTACTAATTTAAAGTCTCTATGCAAATATAAATAATAACACTATTTCTTTTTAAAAGGAACAATGCCTGAAAACCACCTGTTACACACAAGTCACAATGAAATCTAAAGTAGGCCACTCAAGCCAGTAAGAATGTTCACAAAAAATTATGTAAGCCTCCTCCTACTGCAGCTGCAGACATCTACTGAATCAATATCCTGAGTGACTGACAGATTGACATACCTTTTACTTTAATTGCCATAACATGCAGATTTTATCTCCCTCCCACAGATGCACAGAGTATATAAAAGTAGGTTTCAATGTAGGGAACATTTCCTAACTTGTAGGGGAAGTAGTGCATAACAAACATAACCTATGTTACCTATTTGACAGCTGTTTTGAATGCAATTTTTAAATTCAAATTTCTTGTTGCCGCCTTTATTATAGAAATGGGGAAGGAACAACTTATTCATTACTATTTTACTGCAGCTTAAATTGATGGCTGTAATTGTTGTAAAACAGGTACTTACGTATAATTTCGACTTGAAAAGAGGTTATTTTATCTTGCCGAATTTTATGAATGAGGTCATATAGGATATCGCTGAAATCCTCATTGACTTATTGTAAATAATGTTAACTTATGTTAATGATCCATTTTCTTCGACATACATGAATAAAAGCGTAGGTGTAAGTACAGCAATAACTTTCAAGGTTATATTAAATATTGCATAACAATAAAAATATATGGTTAATCATGTCAGAATGTGTATTAATCGATCCCGAAATAAAATTTAGTATATGTCTTTGCATTATTACTATTTTAATTGATGATTAACCCTCGTTATACTTAGATTGCGCGCACTCATGAAACAAATGAAGTTATATACTTACTGCAATTTCTTAGACACCTCAAATTGAAGAACTTAATCGTTAAAGAAATTTAGTATTAATAACAACACATGATAACAAATAAATACTCGTGCAGATTGATTTATTTACGCAATTTTTTTAAAAACATCCAATTTCTTGTCGAATCAAATGTCAAACTAATGTGTCAAAGTTGCTCGCCCATTGTCTTATCTGAATGTCATTGTTTTTTTTTAATGTGTCTGGCTATTTATTTATTAAGTACAAATTTGAGACATCTACAGAAATATTGTTTATATTAGCGTTTGTGTACTCATTCTGACTATAAACCACTTTAACGTGAAAACTTACACGAGATCGCGGGAACAGAGTGAGGTGGGGCTTCTCTCGTTTTCAATCTTAGCATCCTGAAATCATAGGCGTCACCAATTTGGACCCGGGCCCCTCCCCCCTTCTCTTCACCCTTAAAGAGATGCCAGTTTTTCCAATTTTTCCATTCTTTGATCATTTTAAAGGTACTGGAGCCTAACCATATTCGTACATACCCACTTTTTGCTTTGGAATTATAAACACGATGTTTTATGATTGAATTTCACCAGAATCAAACAATACGCTTTGGCAGAAAGGTTCTCGAGTGTAGGCCACGTACCGGCAAGCGCAGCTTAGGACGTCCATCCGCAAGGTGGACAGACGACCTGATAATGGTCGCAGGGAGCCGCTGGATGCAGGTCACTTCCAACCGGCCTATCTGAAAGACATTGGGGGGGGGGGCTATGTTCAGCCGTGGACGTCATGTAGCCGATATAACGATGATGATAATGAAACAATGCGCTTTAAATCTTCATCATCCTGATCCCAAGTTAATAATAACCGAGGATTAATGCCATTCGCATTGAAAATAATTAAGAAAAACAACCACTTCAATAAAATCAATTTTTATTCTTAATACTATTTCACAAATAAATATCCAAATACCTTGATAAACACTTTTAAATGCTTTTGTAAGAATGTCGAAATTATTAAACCTTCAATAAATAACTAAACCCTTTTCTCGCATAAATTAAAAGCATACAGATATTTCCTAATACAGTGACACTCATTTCCCCTCTTGCAACCAAAAATTCCTAAATTGTTTGCATTACTCATACATTTATTTTTGACCTCTTTATGAGGGTTTGCCAATAAAAGGTTACTTTATTGTTTTTATTTCTGGTTTGCAAGAAGAAATAGCTTCACTGTGTATTTAAATAAAAATCTGATATACAAAACATCTACGGTAATAAATAAATAAATTAATGTTCACACTAATTTGTAAAGACATTGAATTGTTACTGTATCTGAGTAAACACATATCTAGATTATGTTTACGTGGGCTATGTGTATGCGACCCTTTCTCACCACCAAAAACCATTTCTGATGATGTACACATTTCTTTATACAACAAGAATATGTGTACTGGTAACAGTATAAACATCGTAGCAAAGTTGCTTCGTAAAAATATTTCAAATCGAACATTCGCATCACACGCCCACGTTTAACAAGATTAATTACATAGCAAAGTCGTGTTGACAATAAATATGACATTAAATACATACAACATAGATCACATATAAATATACTAGATCAAGTCTCGCGTTGTCTTCCTCAGTACACAAGCATTTAAATGCTTCCACCTTCCTTCTACCTACCATCGCCCGATTACTATACGAAATTCCTGAGAACAGATTAATTCCATTCTCAAGATCAATATAACCTAAACTTCCACCAACAAACATACATGTATATTATCTAACAGGAAAGATATATTTCAGAGCGAAAGTATAAGCAATGTCTACTTGAAGATATCGGATACTAGTTGAAAAACATCTACAACACAATTATGATACCATAACATTATATATCATTAATAAAAATGCAATGACTTGAATTAATTATTATTAAACATGTAAATTAATTATTATGTATTATTCAATTATCAATTTTAGTGATGATAATAATATATTAATAAGTATACTTCATTAATATGAAAACATCACCTCAATTTAAAATGTGACAACCTTATATATTGTCTTTTGTCAGACACCTATATAGTACTTATTTCGCAATTCCGGATTTCCTAGGATTGTAAACCGTTTAATAATTTAATGCCATTAAATTATTAAATAAGCCAAGTGGTAATGTATCAATCATATATGATTACCTAATCAGCAATATTTAACAATTCCATATTTCAAAGGACTATTTTATGCAACTATTCACGTTTCCTTCATGTTCTGAACAAGTCGAGAACATTAATAATCATAAATGTATTAATAAGCTGTCTTATCCTATTACACATACTTATAATTTAATGTGGGAGCTAGAATATAGTCCACAATGTATAAATATGATAAATATATTGACCATCGTCATGATCCCTAATAGATAAAAAGTGGCAGTGTCTGCCTTTTTCAACTACAAAAATTCAATGACCCTAAGAGTCTTGGAATACATGGAAACTACAATATCTTTGATTTGAGCCTCAATCTAACACTATAAAGTGCCCCGTTACTAACTTGATCGTGCTCATACAAATAGTATGTTTGTCAAGCACGATGATAAAATCAGTCCACACGTAATCGCTTCTACTTACGTTACAATCAAGGACGTCATCGACAATAACCTAGATAACTACAATAAATACGTTATACGATTAATACGCGGCATTAGCCCTACAGTTTGTAATGAAAGCAAAGTATTACACCTACTTAACTCACTAGAAATTACACAATGTGACTTGCAAAAGACCGATATATAATAAAAAATACATAGTATAATTTTGAATATTATCACCAACGAAGCTCGTAAATTGCACTGGCAACCGTCGGGAAGAGAGATGTAAGACGGTCGTGCATAAGGAGTAGGGAGTAATAGCCTAGTAATTTGAGTCACACCTAAGACATATAATCACATAGGAGTCCTTCACTTTCATAGGGCTCTAGAGTCTAGTCGACGTCGATTAATACGGACAGGGACGTGCCGCGCGTCGGGTACTGTAGACGTTGAAGCCATGGATGGGTACGATACAATTATATCGTAGGGCAAAGCACTATTCTTGTTTAAGGGCTTCTAGACGTTGCATCACCACAACGAAGTCACTCTCGGGCAGCGGGGTGCAGTGGGAGGACCTGTAGTCGTGCAGGTACTTTCCAATCTGAAAACACAATTAATTACATTATTAAACTAATAAACTGTAGACCATTTAGTAGATTACTATTTATTACATTTACATTTTAATACTCAATTACTTAATAAAAAATGTCGTGGTGGCCCGGAGGTTTAAGCCGCCCGCCGCTTCTCATGCATGAGGGTGCGGGTTCGAAACCTACCAACGGCAAGTACCAATGTGACTTTTTCTGAGTTATATGTACTTTCTAAGATTATTCAGACACCACTGACAAACGGTGAAGGAAAACATCGTGAGGAAACCTGGGCTTATAATTTCTAATTATAAGTTTGTAATCGCCAACCCGCATTGAGCAAGCGTGGTGATTAATGCTCAAACCTTCTCCGTGTGAGAAGAGGCCTTGCTCAGCAGTGGGCATTTATAGGCTGTTGATGATGATGATGATGACTTAATAAGCTTAGGTCACTTACCAAAGGCAGCAGGGATCGTTCATATTCCTCAATCTCGTTCCTGTCGAGGATGTTGCGCTGAAGGTCCATGAGGGCAAGCAACTTGATAAGAGCCACACGAACATAAGGATCCTCCAAAGCTTTAGGGTGTCTTTTGTCAATCACCTTCAGCAACAGGTCGTTGCCGCGGTTGGTCGACAGGATACCTTGCCTAAAATTGTCAAATAATATCTGATTAATTTTTAACTATGATGTTATTTCATTGGGCGAAGTATTTTCTATGCGAAGTTCTTAGTAAAATGAATATTAAATTCACTTTCAAAAACATATTTCAAAAACATATTTCATAGCATTGAAAAATTTTCAAGTGCCATATTCAAAAATAGCACATTATGGCCTTCTTGTATTCTTTTGGTTTCATTGAAGATAGAAACTAGGATAGCCCTAAGATTTTTCTAGGGCACGGGAGTGCTTTCACCCATGTTGAGCAAAAAGCGGAACGGCTACATTATCATTTTCTCGAAGCAGTCACGCCATTTTCGACCCTCTCAACTTTATTTGACACGATTTTACAATATAGAACCATCGATATGTACATAGAGATACACCAATATTCATATTCGGTTATTCGGCATATTTTATCATGTTTTTGTTAAGTCGATTAGCCAAATAATTACATTTTGTAGTAAAATTGCTTGCTTGATAAAATGTTATTTCAAATATTTAGGCGCCCAAACACTGCACCGCGCCCCTTCGCCTGCTATCCCGCGCGACGGCAGTGTTTTGTGCTAGGCGTGATTGCTACATAAATTGAGATACTCCATACAGTGCTACAAACACAATCAAAAATATTACAACAACAAGAAATTGATATTATCATCAGTCATCACCCATCACATGTTTGTAGTTATGATGTAATCAGTTTTTAAAATAAAAGTAATATAAAATGAAAAATTAGCACAAAAACCGCGCAAAATGAAACCAAATGATTATGAGAAAGAACATTTGGTGCATCTCTACTTGAACACTATTCTATAAAAACATGTTTTTTTAATTAACTAATGAGTTTCGTAAATGGAGCTAGAAGCATAATGCTGGGCACTTACTTCTCGCTGTTCAATCTGTGTAAAAGGTCAGATGCGCAGTCCTCGTGATAAGCAGGCATGTGTAAAAAAAGTATTTAAAGCCAGGTTTAACTAAGCATATTCACAAGCATTATGTGTAGTGTTATAATAATCCTACTAGGTAATTATCATATCATAAATGTTAAAAGTTTGTGAAGATGTATTTTTGTCTCTTTCACGCAAAAAATGAATCCCCCAAATGTATGTAAGGTATATCTTCAGAACGACAATACCAAACTGGATAATTCTCTCTTTTTTGTGTTCGATACTGTTAGGAAAAGGTTTGATGTTAATAAATCTTTGCTCAATTTCATAATTTTTCAGTCCTTATATACTTTCACAAGACAGAATCAAGTTACATGTTTTTTACAGAACATGATCTTTTTGTGAATTATTCAACTAACGGAGTATGTAGTTTCAAAAATATTTTTTTATAAAAAAAATGTAGTGTTGCCATTGAAACCATGATTTTCTTATAGTATTGTTTAAGATTGATATTATTGTGTTCACATTTATTTGTTTGTAGGAAGTCTTAGTGTATGTAACAATGTATACTTCACCTTACCTTCTTCATCATACTGGTTATGCTTAGTGATCAAGATGTTTTGTTAAGTAAGTTTTTTTATAGAACAAGCCGGTAAATGAGCAGACGGTGATCCGTCTACTGCATCAGGTGATCCTGATGGTTAACAGAGGTGTTGCAAGTACGTTACCGGAAATTTGCTGATTCTTGGGAATACGGGGTTTGGGGAGATTGTGGACCGGTAACGCTCACGACCTAACGCTCTCTCACGACACGACGTATCATGACACGTGTTGTTGACACAACACTTACGTTGTGTTTCGTCGTGTGAGGCATCGTCGTGAACGTCGCTGTCGTATATTGTGATGTTATTGAAAAACCATAACTATTATTACTATATTTACAAAGGACGGGATAAATGTGGTACACTTACTATCACACACAAGTCCCATGTAATTAGGTACCACATATCTGGTCCCAACCCGCAGCTACTGATAATATCGAAATTTACTTATTTTGACGCCATCATAAAAACAATATAACTAAAATCTGAAGTTAGTCTTGAAGCCCCAAGCACAGTGAAGACAATCAAAGCTGCTTAAGTCCCAAAACCTTTAACTCTGTGAACTATACAATAAATTGTCAGCAAAATGTGATTAACTGAATAGCTAAGAGCAGTGCAAGTGTATTTGTGTGTGTGGGGTACATACCGCAAGCTAATAATCTCATCTTCAGTGCGTCGAATTATCTTCACGGACCATTGTACTTGGTGATCAGATCAGCGATGTTCAGATCCACATATGAGCGTATGACCTCCTTCACGAGAAGGGACCAGGATGGCGGCATCTGGTTCTGGGCGAGAGGCAGCAGGTCATCGAAGGTCGCATCCAGGATCTAAAAAAATGGACAGATGACGTCAGTGGGTTGCTTATTTCGCTTTCTACATAGACAAGTTACGTAGCTGATGGTCTTAAGCGAGCTATGCGGTGAACTGGCAATTGATAATGTATTTCGCAATTGCTTTAGTGAAATTATTATACAGTTATAGCTTGAATGCGTTCTTTTCATATGTCGCTAAATAAATTGTGCAGTATTTCGCTAAAAATATAAAGGTACAAGCTGTTGAGCATAATCAAAATAATAGCTTAGCTTAAATCTATATATATAAAAGAACGCCGTGTTAGTTACACCACTTATAACTCAAGAACGGCAGGATAGATTTGGCTGAAAATTGGTAGGGAGGTAGCTTAGAGCCAGGAGACCGACATAGGATTATTAACCAACATTTTTTTTTACTTTTTATCGAAAATCACGAACGGGGACGGGAAAAAATGGGATTACGCGTACGAAGTCGCGGGCAGAAGCTAGTTATTTGTATAGATCAATGTGTGACGCTTAGCGTAAACCGAGTAATCTATACATTACTTGATACAGTTCGATGTCATTTTATTATTAAATTTAGCGCAGCTTTTCCGAAAATTCTAAATCTGTGTAAAATATCCAGCCGCAATGGAAGGAACTTACATCAAAGGTAAAGGCTAGGTCTAGTTTAAATGTTAGTAAGTCAACTCTCTATCAAAATCTTTGAGATAAACAATTTTATTATTTTTTTAATTTTATAAATGAATCATTATCACTATTAATTTTCACGATTGCTCAGCATCAAAGGTCACTTTATTTTAATCAGTGATTAATCAATGCAGTGATTAAGGTATTCTTTTGTTAATAGCTAAAAAAGCTTACGAAATTGTAAAGAACATTTTTATTAATGCGCTGTAATATTCACATTAAACAATTCAACTATTCTTATGACAAAGCAGAAGCAGAGCAAGTGCGTACAGTTTACAACACAATCGCCACAAAAAGGTCATTCACGAATTTTAGGTATTATATCATATCTATAGGTACACAGTATCATGTCTAGCTAGCTTCATTAAATTAAAGGGAGTGCCTCCGCTGCGGGCACTATTGGAAACCGGCGGTAAGTATACTGCCGGCAGCCGAGATTTAAAACAACGGCTGCCGGCGCCGGCACTCAAAATGGCAGCCGGTGACAATGCGCAAAAAGCTGGGTTCCAGTAAACAAATATAAAAAAAAACATAACCTCAAAGATTCGACTTTGTTCTTTATTTAGTTTCATTAGTTTGTTCTGTTTGTTGTATTTATTCTGTTTGTCTTACGTTTAACGTTACGGTTTGGAAAAATGAATATAGGTTAGGTTTTTTTTAAAAAAGGTTAGGTTAGGTTAGGGCCTTTCCCCCCATAAAAAAAATAAAGGAATTCCCCCATAAAAAAAGGTTACGTTAGGTCCGGTTACCGAATAGGCTACCGGCGCCGGCAGCTAGTCCGGCAACCGTCGCCGGCAGCCAGCCCGGTAACCGGCGCCGGCAGCGGAGGCACTCCCTAAATTAAATGTAAAAAAAAGTAAAAGTGTACTAACCAAGGCACCGACAGGATAGTTGACAGCAGCCCAGGTAGCGGTGTATCCTCCAATGCTCCAGCCAAACAACACAATGTTATCAGGACGAAAACCAAGCTCGTTGATAGCATATTGCATCACAGCGTCCATCGCATTATGCTCTTGAGACGGGTATGGCAGGCCCTGAACCAAAAAACGTAAGTTAGATAACAAAATATTGTAGTCATCTAATCAAAATTTGAAATATTACATACACTGCTTCCAGCGAATCCAGGGTGATTCCATCCTAATGCCGAATATCCGCACTTCATGGGTGTGGTCATGATGCCGATCTCATAGAATCCAGAGTTTCCTTCGCAGCAGACAACCAGAATCTTACCCTTAAGGGAGCGAGTGCGGTTGTCCACAAACATCGTATCGATGGTGTTGCCGTCAGCTGTTCCAATCCGGGCTCGCTTACCATTATGGTTTTCAACGAGCGTAGTCCTGCCTTGTAAGAGTGCGGCCCCTGTAAGAACTAAATTTAACAACGAATCCATTGGACGATATGTCTGAATAAGACACCATAATCATACAATGTCAATATTCAGGCATAGATATTTTTGTGTTGTGGTGCCTCATACCCTGGACGTCTTCACTTCGATGAGTTCACGTTGACCACTTCTTCTTCATAATGACAATCAGAACTGGACTTAGAGAATGGCGTCCAAAACCTACATTGGGTGTATCGTCAAAATAATGACAAAGAACAGGGTTATGAAGTCTTGATGGAGGTTCTTGAAGAGGATCTGAAGTCCTTTGGCCATTTAATTCTATAAAAACAATGTAATATTATTACGCTGGGAAATAGGTCAAAATCCCAAAGAAACTGTCTTGAAACCATTATCACGCTACACCAAAAGAAATTTCTTATGCGTAAAATACTGATCAATTTAGCCATCTTTTGGCTAAAACCTAACACTGATTAATATCTTGTGAAAATTCCTGTAAAATCAATCCAAAAATCGTCTTGTTTTAAAATTTTGCTTTACACATTGTATTGTGGACGGAAGACAGCAGTAGTTGAGTAAAATACTGATATTCAGCCGAAGCTGGTCTTAAATCTGTGACGACTGAACCTAGAAAGGAAAGATTAAAGACAAACCTGGCAGCTGACAAAAATATCTTTTCCTGAATGCTGTTCTTCCTATGTTTAATACTTACATAGCAGAGAGTTGACAACGGTCAAAGATCCTGGATAAATGAGCCTCAAGCCGAAGGTATGCACGGCGGCGAATGCCAGGATCTGAAGAGGGATGCGCTTGTAGAATCGCAGATCCGGGTTGGAGCAGTATCGGAAAGGATGATGTTGGTACCATTTCAACCTAAAAACACAATGATATTATTAAAATGTTCTTTAATTTTTATATGGATTGGTTATAAAAAACAATAACAAAGCTTAGCTACTAAGGAAACAATCCCTTTTCCTTAAACCACTTTAAGGAAAAGGATTGCTAAAAATAATTACAATTGTTTCGAGTTTTTAATACACTCATGTTCGTTTATATTAATATACAAATGCGACTAGTTGGAAACATACCAACATGAAAAGAACTACGATGATAGTCTATCTAAAGTTTAGATGGATTTAGATAGATGAAAAAGTGGTTTTTGATTCAATACTACTTTAGATGTATAGAATCTAAACATCTCCATTTTTTCTTTTGAGACCATGCATTGCAGATGAGCATAAACGTTTAATGTTGGTTACGATCCTCTATAATTGTCTATTTATACCACAAAACAGGAAGTTTATTAATATAAATTATACCATAAATCTTCTTTGTTCATTATGTTGCTATACCATAAGGATCAGGGTTATAGGTAATTGTTTTTGTATATGATTTTTATTTCAGCAATAGGATGGAAAGAAGTTATAAAGCTTTTGAAAGAAGCAAAAATAGAAATTAAAATAAGATGACGTTATTGTTAAAAATATTATATATAAAGCAGAGGCCTTAACTAGTACGAGTTTGTTTTATGTTTACAGTATCGTAACGAGTACGCGTTCAGCGCTCTGATTGGTTGGTTTATTGGCGCCGGCCAATCAGAGGGCTTAGTACAAGTTTATCTTACGTTTAAATTAATAGACGTCGTGGTAGCTCGGAGGTTTATGACGCACTTCTCATACATGAGGGTGCTGGTTCGAAACCTACCAACGGCAAGTAGCAATGCGACTTTTTCCGAGTCATATGTACTTTCTAAGATTATTTAGACACCACTAACAAACGGTGAAAAAAAACATCGTAAGGAAACCTAGACTTATAATTTCTAATTATAAGTTTGAAATCACCAACACACATTGAACAAGCGTGGTGATTAATGCTCAAACTTTCTACGTATGAGAATAGGCTTTGCTCAGCAGTGGGCATTTATAGGCTGTTGATGATGATGCGTTCGGCACTTTGACTGGCCGGCGCCAATGAAGTGTTTATTTGTTTGAACGCGCTAATATTTGGGACTAATGGTCCGATTTGAAAAATATTTTTGGGTGGAATAATGCATTACTCGAGGATGGCTATAAGTTATAAAACATCACTCCACAATCAATAGTTGCAGAGCTAAGCAGGTAAAACCGCGCTAAAGTAACTAGTTTGTTATTGAGATTAGTTAAAGATTTATAAGATAAAAACCTCTATAAATGACTTTGTAATAAATATGTTAGAGTATATAATTATGTACATTTTTAGGGCAGGTACTTACCCTTCATCAATTGGATCCATTTTTATAATAGGATCACTTGTACTACTGAAAATAATTGAACAAAATTAAATAAATACAATACACTAATAAAGCTGTAAATTCGATATAAAGTACGATTATACAAGCAAGCATAAATATTAATTATAAAAACATGCTTTAAAATATAGCATCACACATGTAATATGGATACATTATAATATTTTGCATTTGCTGCCTGTTCTACATACATACTACTATATATAGCATACTATACATATAATTATATAATGAGAGCACTATAAAGTACATAGAGTAAATTCAAGAAGTCTTTTGATAGTTATCCACGCAAACAGTCACCGGAGCCTTTTTTTAAATTTAACCAGTTTTAACTTGTTATATATAGGTTTAACAATCACACTCAATGTTTTGTGGTTTAAGTAGAAATCTAAATAACTTGTTATAATATTTTACAAAGCAAAAAACTAATTTTCCCATCACCATGCTCTTTAAGTATCCTACAACCGAATTATTAGTTTCAATAAAATAATTAGTTCCTTATCATTCCTGTGGAGATGTTTAAAAAGCCAAATAGCTTCAGTTACATAGTGTGTGTTGGTGAAATCTTTTAAAGCACCCTCCATAAGTGCCTTTTCACACGTTCCGGTTGCCAGGCGCCAGGTAACCGGCAACCGGACCAAGAGAAAAGGCACTAACTCTTTCAGGGAACAGAAAGTCATGTGCATTAAACCCTGATACTTAAACATAATATATTAATCTTTAACGAAAGTGAAATTGTTCAAAACAAACAACTCACACACTGCAACCGCAACTTAAGCACATAAAAAATCTTCTGAACGCTTAGTACTAGATTCTTATACGTTTAAAAACATCAAAATTCGCGTTTGGGGCTCTGAATGGCCAGCTCCAATGAACAAACCAATCAGAGATCCGACCGCGATCTCGTTTTGTCTCGTTAAAAGTAAAAGACTCGTACTAAGCGCTTTTCAAAAACTCATTAACACACTTACCCTTCTTTGCTTGCCACACTGAAAGTTACAGGCCAGGCTTTAATATCAAAATCGTACTTCCGCAGGTCAGTCAAATAACCTTGTTTATCAGTCATCGTGTTGGTAATTGTGTTCACAAATTGCATATACTTGGGGTTTAGAGACCTTCCATATGCTCGGATTAGGAAGGAAAATGCTATCAGACAAGAAAGGCCACCAAAGAGCCGGCCCATTGACTTCACCTCGTCGAACGACATGAAACCACGCTTGTAAATATAGAAGCAGATAAACGGCGAGGTGTATAAACTAATGTTCAGTAGCGCATGAGCCTAAAACAAAACATATTTGTTTTCATTCTCCTAGGTATTAAAATGATTTCGTAAATAATAATGATAAGAACAACAACTTACTGTTATGATGACCTTGTCGCCCCATTTCTCGTATCCCACGGGCTGGTACACCGACTGAAAAACAACAAGATTTGACTATTTTATAAACATCTAGAAAAGTAAATTCAGCTAAGTTGTTGCTTATATCGCACGTAATTACCCACCCACGCATACTGAGAGTGGGTGAAAGAGGTAGTTGACAACAAGATGCTTTGACATTTTCATCTTATTGATTTCCCCACCCACATCTAATATCCCATTAGATGTAGGAGTATAATAACAACTATAATTAGCTGATTGTAACTGATACCATTATATTTAGTCTTCTACTAATTAGGGGCTATCAATTTCACATTGCTATTATTAAGATTTTATAAATAACAAAAATTATCTGTTATTATTTTGTCCAACATTTATGGCAAAGGGAGTCATAGAGTTTTCAAAATTTGTTTAATGAACTTTGAACATTACATAGGGTGTATGGCTATTCATCTACTTATTTCCGCAATATTCCAACTAGAAAAGACTGCACTCCACGACTAACTGCCTCAGATCACAATATATTGATGATACAAGCCCGAGTTCCGAGTGTGTCTGTCGTTTGAGATAGTCAGATAATTCTGAACTTTCATTTGACATTGATGCTATGAATGGTAATCTAGAATCTAGACTATATATAGAGCCAATAGCAATACTTAACTAAAATCTAAGATTTCTCTAAGTCGTCTAAGTTGACTAATACCTTTTAAGCTGAGATCTTAGCGGCAACACAGATGCAGATTAGGACGAACACTCTCGTGTATGAGGTAAAAAATCTAGCAGAGGATTGTCATGAGCTGTTGATGCCAACTGTACTAGAAACTAGTTAGTAATCTCTTTATTTAACCTGTGGTATGCCAGGACAGAACATAGATATACGCGAGACACAGTGTATTTTCTATTGTGTCTTATATACCTGCAGTCAACAGATTAATGCAAAGAAGGAAATCATTAAAATTCTATTCCAATCTCTAACAAAGCATAATATCTTTATAGCTCCAAAATGGAACCACGCTTCTAGAGTTCAGCTGTTTTTTAGGGTTTTGTATATAAATTGTAATATCTTATTAGATATATACAAAAATAACTCATTTGAATGTTTAAAGACCTTCAAACGAAAAACAATATGTATCAACAATCTCAAAAATGGGTTTAACAATTCTTGAAATTATTTGTTTAGGAGGTTTCGGGGCGATAAATAGATCTACCTAGGTTTCATTTTCAAGTAATGTCGGTAACTTCAAAAACGTAGGTCATCTAGGTACTTAATGTTTAATTCTCAAATAGAGGAAAGTTCTTTTTTTAATATAGTTGTTTTATTTTGTACAGGTGGGATTGTGAGCACTACATAGACAGTTTAGTATCACTGCTAATTATGGGTTTATCATATAAGGGTAGGTACATTTTACCTACAGGTGTCAGTACAGGATGGTTTTACGAACTGTATGCGTGCACAGTGTTCAAAGTACAAGTTAGTTTATGAATACAGAACTGTCAAGAAGCTTATGCATGGGGTAGGCCCATTGGAACAATAGTGAAGATCAATACTAAAATGAAGATAAAGGAAAATTTTACATGAATTGCTTTTGTTTAGTATAATAATGTTACATTTGCATAAATTATAACAATGAATTCAATATATGATACATGCTCTACTGAACAACACATTATCATGTATTTGAATTAAGATGGGAGACTCCACTTGAACTGTCCGAGGAGGAAATATCCAAATATGATAATATCCATGTTTTTATTTTTAAAATGATTACGTATTTCAATCTTTTACATTTTTACGTTCAGAACAAGTCACATGGATGCAAAAATAAAATTATTATAATTATAATAAAACTTACATCTTTCGGCCCATCCCGGTACACCTTATAAAGGCGCGGTGAAAATAAACATTGCCAAATTTGCTTCATGGTGAAAATGTTCCTGTAAAACGATTTCAAATAGAATCATTAGACCTATCAGAAAAATACCGTAACAAAACGTATATTTTACACTACAAATTATTAATTTATTTAAGTAATATCACGATGAGAAAAGAACGTAGTTTCGACGAAGATCTAAGAAAACAATAGTATTTATTACTTACTTGTATTTTTATTATAATTTTAAGATAATTTAACGTGTAGTTATTAATTTATCAGTGAAATAGCATTAGGCCGAATCGTTCTCACAACACGACCATAAACTGACCGAAAATCAATATTCCTCATTTCATCTATTTCAGAGGCAAGTATTTTTTTAACAAATGGGGTATGAGTATTTTTGCTCAAGTTTTATTCGTCTGGTCTATAGGACTGACAAGACAGAGCGGTATTAAAGGCAAATATGAAAGTGCCTATGGCACTGGCGCCAGCACCAGGTTGTAGGTGGGCGCTATGAGGTGCAGGGGCTCATCAGTCCATAGGAGTAGACAAAAATAAGAGTGCCCATATAAGGCACTCTCTAGGTTTAATTCGCCTTTGGACTGGCCTAGCCAGAATAAACACTGTTAATTAATGTACCAGGTTGAACATAGGAATGTCGGAATTAGTACAGAAATGTGATATTAAAGACTGCGTCGTTGGCCAAGTGGTCGCAGGTGCGACTGTCGGGTGAAAGGTCTCGGACTCTCAGGTCCGATTCCCGGTTCGGGCAAAGTAATACGAAGCTTTTAAAAAAATCTCAGTAGTAGCACGGAGTCTGGAATTATGTCCGGTCCGGTATATGGCAATAGGCTCACCCCCTATCACATGGGACTTATAACATACATTTCGAAATGTGTGTACAGTGGCATAAAGTGCCGTAATGTGCACCTCTGCCTCCCCTTTCGGGGTTAAACACGTGATGATATGTTATGTTATAATATTAAAGAGATAGATATTATTAAACATTGGACTGTTAAACTTTTTATTTGTTTTTTTTGTCTTATCCCAAGCCTATAGTCTGTAAAATGTGAAATAATCTCTGTTACAGCTGTAACTAAAATAAAGTTCTAAATTTGAATGAAGTTCAGTTAATTATTAGGTTCTCGGCATAAAAGAATATGAACAGCATTCCGCAATCCACGATATCGATTAGTTACGTAAGTAAACCGAAAACAATAATTAATTTAGTATTTCTTCATTCAGTGTTGAAACTAAACGCGCCAAATGCCGCGTGTAGTTTAGTGCGGTTTGTAGTTGGATTGGAGTTATAATTTTTTCTTAAGTTGCTGTAATATGTACCATAAGTAGCCTAATTACAAAATATGTTGCGTAAACCACCATAAAAAATGGTAGGCGATGGCCAAATAAGAAATTAATAAGATTTTTTTAAACCTTGACAACATGACATATGACATAGAGATCATTTTATATTTTACGGAATGTATCTTCTTGTCTATGGTCACAATTGTAACTTTTTTGTATAATTTAGACAGGTAATTAAGAATTTATTATCTGCGTAGGTAGTCAGTGATTCTGTGATCAGTCTATTTTTTTGTTAGTCTATGTTTATCTCCGTCACCGACTGTGGGAATGTTTTTGTGAAGAATTGGTATTTTCAACAGTAAAGAAATAAAAGATATTAGAACAGATTTAATGTAATCGTCATGAAACATGATTTATTTAGTGAATAAAGTTGTATTGTGCATCTTGGTGGTAGCTGCAACGGTGTCCTGCAGAATACACAAACTGCATCTTTCGGTAAGCATAATGACTTTAAAACTATAGGCAAATTACCAAAGTTAGTGTACAAACGGTTCATGGAAACCATATGGTCATGAAATAAAGTTCATTTACTGGTTGTCAAGTTTTAGGATTTAAACTACATAAACATTGGAAGCTCTGTAACCACTCTCACAAACCACTGTTTGAATCTTAACAGGATTTGTGTACATGTACATACTATTACCTCAAAATATTTTTTACAAAATTTCGACATCCTTGTGGAGATAGGAAAATTAAGTTAAATTATTTGATTTTATTTTACTCAAAATATGTAAGTAGGTAAATAAAAATATTTGTTAATATACATAGTTCTATTTGTTCAGCTGAATTCTATTGATAAGCATGTAAATTTATTGCTTAGGGATCACACTATCTAAAACAGTGAATTTGAGTGAAGGAATTCTTTGTCTTATCTCTGTGGGGAATTAAGATGTATTTACTGAAACAGTATCAATGTGTTAATTATTATTTACAACCCAGGAAATGTTACACATTTTTCCATTCTGTATGTTATCATAAAATAAAAAATTCGAGTTTGAATTTTTTGTATAAGAAAAATAAGTTTGATGCGGAACAGTGTGTTAAATCATACACAATGGTTCTACAGGTACTTGAATTCATTTTGGTTTATCCTTATTTTGAAACTGTATCATGATCATCAGTTTCAACTAAAATAACTAACAATATAATACCTATTATTTGACATAATTATTTTTATAAATACAGTGAATTCCCTGTACCCGTATACCGTTTAAATTTGAAATTAAACACCAATTATTCCGCATTGTGGATGTGTAATCATAATCCAAACTCTTAGTATTAAGAATTTTTACATTTTAATTAGTTATATTATTTATGAGCAGTTTGGAATCTGGAAGTTCAGTGCTGTTCAACTTGTTCTTTGTGTTAACCCTTTGAGCACCGTCATTATAGACACAAAGAATAATAGGTTGCGGTCACCGGTGTCCTCGCAGTGTTTGACAATTTAACCACAAAATAGAGGTAATTGAAAAAGAACAATGGTTTTGACAAAATAATATTATGCTTTCCAAGAAGTAGGTTCTGTTAATGTAGTCTCTGATGTCAGTCAACATACTTAAGCCCATTTAACCAGCAAAAGACTGAATGAATCCACATTTTGAGACAACCACCTTGCTTCACTGATGGACAGACTGGCAGACTATTATTTATTTTATTTTTGTTGAAATTTCAAAAGTACCAAAATAATGGTTTTATTGAAATAAATTCTTTGGCATTGAAGGTTTGTGTTTTCAAACATAATTATAAATTATAAACCAGGTTACCTCAATGTTTTTCTTGACTGTTTATCAGGGGTGTCTAAATAATCTTAGAAAGTACATATAATTCGATAAACATCACAAGGGTGCCTATTTGCCATTGGTGTGTTTCGAACCATGCATGAGATAAGTGGGTGTCTTAAACCTCCGGGCCACCATGATAAATGGGAGCCTACTAAAAAGCTCCTAATTTCAGATATGTGAATCCACAGGTGGATACTTGTATGTAGGTACTAAATAACTAAAAAAGTATTCAATTGATTTCGATTTCGTGGCTAGTCTATCTAACCAGGATCTAATCTCGTTACTAGAGTAACCTAATAAGTAGTTGATATTATACCACACAATTATGTGTGTGCGATATAGGTGATCTCTATTCCTTCACTTACAATCATACAAACTATACATCACATCTAGACCCAAAACGAGTTGTGGGGTCTCACAAAATGCACAAATAGTTATTGCTTGTGACAACATTGTGCGAACTGAGCATTCAAATTGGTTTCCATAACTAATGACTATATTAACATCATTATTTACTGATTGGATCTAGAGTTATAATTGTTACACTATAGTTAATTAAGTCAAGCAATGTTATAATCAGGTCAGCAACCATTTAAAAATGAAATTCGGCATTTTTTCTGGTATAACTACAGTTTTAATAAGACCCATTAGCATTGAACTGGAAATCATTAAAATATACAACAATAGTAATTATTTTTGACTGCATGGTTGGTGCGGCAACCGGCTGCTGGGCAATGTGGGGCAGGTTCGATTCTCGCACGGAGCAACTTTTTGTTTGATCCACAAAATTCTTGTTATGGGTCTAGGAGTCATGTGTGTGCCCGAACCCGCGCCACGCTGCACTGCAGCCGGTTGTCCAGCCACCGCGCCAACCGTGCAGTCGTCCTAATCTTACACCAACCTATCTTATACCTAGTTACTTATATTATTTTATTACTATTATATAAAGCTGAAAGGTCTCTTTGTTTGAATGCGCTAATCTCAGGTAATACTGAACCAATTTGAAAAATTATCTTTGTATTGGATAACCTATTTATCGATGATGGCACCGAGCAGAGCGGGTTAAATTATAAAATTATAATTTCTATTATGAAACTCTTCTGTTGAGACACTGCCAGACTGAAATACAATGGAAAGGTTAAAAAGGGTATCACCTATTTGTGATTAATAGAAAAAATAGTGTATCATTTTTAACGAAAAAGGTGTCTAAAATGAAACTGTTGTAAGAACAACACTGTTTTATTAACGGACCGAAGTCAGTTCATTACTCAGACAGGCTATATGCTTCAATAGACAGAGACAAATGTGACTTCAAATACCAAAAGTTACAGCTCCCTAGGAAAATTGACTAGTTATTTAAAATTACAATTTATTTTAAGCTAAACAAAAACCTCGATCTCGACCGGAGTGGTACCACGGATTCACAGAAAACTTTCTTCGTGTGAGTGAGGCTACCGGAGGCTCAGCTATCCCCCCCCCCCTTTTTCAATCCCTCCAATCCCCGATATTCATTAAATTCCTAATCCCTAAACGGCCGGTAACTTGTAATGCCTCTGGTGTTCGAGGTGTTTATGGGGACGCCGATTGCTTACCATCAGGTGATCCGTCTGCTCGTTTACCGGCTTTTCCCATAAAAAACCATGTTCTCCTTTCTTTAAATTAACTAATGACGTAAAATGAACGTCTGGAACCGTCTCCCAAATTACGTCAAAGTAAGCAGTGCTATTCAGCTGGCATTCAGAAAACCGACAAATATAACAAACACTTGTAGTGCTTCCTTCGTTAGAGTGGGCTGTTTGAATGGATTATGTACACAACTGTGTTTCTTTGCCCTTGGTCTATTGTACAGAACTCTTCCGGGCTTCGCATGAACAGAAAATTACCGTTTTCCTAATAATTATTTATTTTGTACTATTTAAAGTACTTTGTATTAAAAGAATAATCGTAGCGTGTTCACTGTTCAGTCTTTCAGACGCTTATATTAGACTTTACAGGAATGTGGAAATTAGGTAGAATCACTACATAACTTATTATCTAAATTATTACTTATGTCGTGTGTATTTAATTGACGGTATGTAGGATGTATGGGCAAACGATTTATCTGTACAGTTCGACTACAGTTAAAACTGCACAGTTAATCGTAAGGTGTGTAGCGTGCGTGCATTAGACAGATCACTGAATAATCACCCTGTTGCTTAGGTTTAATACCAATATTTTTATAATTGGATGTATATATTTTTTAAACATTGCCCCACACTAGGATTTACTCCTGTGTCGTTGGTGCGTTTACAAACATACAAGTTCACATACACATGACACCCAGACCATGAACAACAATTTGTGGATCACACAAAGTGTTGTTCCGTGCGGGAATCGAACCCGCGAGACGTTGCACGGCAGCTGGTTGCTAAGCCACCGCACCAACCGTGCAGTCACGATTCCTGTCCCAGTTTTTAACCTAGGTAAAAAGACTAGGTCTATCTAAAATAAGCTATTAAATAAGAGTTAGCTTATTTATATTTGAAACAGTACACAAAATATATAGGAAAAGTATTAAACAATTATGTACACAAGTTCCTTATCCCTAAAAGGGATCTCCTCCAGGAATCTCTTGCAGCAGACCTGCGACAGGAAACATGGTTCTTATGTTTGTAGTTACAGCTAATCTTTCAGTGTGTCTCTGATCCTACCTATTTCTTCAAGAGAAAAATGTTCGCTATAATTACCGATTGTTATATAAAGTCAAGTGCCTGGATGACCGAGCTTTGCCTGGATTTTTTAGTACATCAATTTCTGAAAATGAAATCTAACTAGATCGATTTATCGCCCCGACACTCCCTGATTTCAAAAGTTCAAGACAATCGACGGAGCTGTTTGCGAGATCGTTGATAATGCAATATATATACAAGAATTGCTCGTTTAAAGGTACTAGATCATTTATTTATCAGGTATATCACACCCATAGTTCAAACCTAACTCAGAAAGAATTACGTACATACATCTTTATATATATAATTCTTCTGTGAGTGAGAACTTGTCACTGAACTTCTCTCAAACGACTGGACCGATTTTGATGAAATTTTTTGTGTGTGTTCAAGGGGATCTGGGAATGGTTTAGATTCTCAAATCATCCCGGCATATGGCGCTGCTGAACTGATTTGAACGAATTTTTGTTTATACATTCAAGTGGATATGCAGGACAACGTCTGTCGGGTCTGCTAGTATTATATAAGATTACAATACCTACTATAAGTTTAGAAATACAAAAAAAAAATGTTATAATTAAAATATGTTATGTAACTCCCCATGTGATACCGATGGATTTTAAAACGTGTACAATTACTGATAAACGTGTCGCTATAAAATCAATTATGCTGTAACAATAACTATTCGCCCGTATGTTTACGTTTCACGGTTTTGTGTAACTAGTTCATTAATTTATGAATAACTAAAGGTTTACATGGAAAACCCTTTGAATGCAATATGTACTCGTTTATAATTATTCCTAATAACTATGACAGTACTTGAATAAAAAATAGTCACTCATAATATTGTCATTAGCTAGGGATGTTTTACTTTCTCTTATAGAGGAGAGAGTAATTCATGAGGATAAGTTGTCCATGTCAAGTCATTGTCAGCATATCCATGTTATTATACAAATAGCGTACAAACACTAATTTATTTCCTAAAACTTGATACCTCTTCACCATATTGTAAACTTATATGTAGAAGAGCCATACGTAGGAACCGGAGTGATACCACGGCATCATAAAAACGCTGTGAATCAAGGCTTGGCTTGTGTTTCGCTATGGTTTTCGGTTGGTCGGAGTCTTATCGAATAAATGAACTAACTAATGTGTGTGAGTGAAGTTACGGGAGGTCCAATCCCATCAATGGAGAAACTCCTTTGGCATTGGGGTAATCACGGGCCACATCAGTTGATCCGTCTGCTCGGTTACCCCATCTCATTGAAAAATAGTTGTTTTTTATGCATTAAACTTCATTTCTACGTGTGCATTCTTCTTTTTTATGTGTGCTGCTGTTTTCTTTTTTCGTTTTATGCGAATTGTAAAGCGCCATAAAGTTTCCAACTTGTGCCCATATATTGATCGACAATGCTCATGCGACTGTTCTCTGTGTTTGCGAACTAACTCGTTCTTTTTCCTGTTGTGCGTAATGCTAACGGTAGGTCAGATAAGAAAATTCTCATCGTGTTTGTCTTTTTGGAGGAAAATGTCGCATTTTCTAATGTAGTTAAACGTTATGGATATAAACGGGATTGAATTCCTGCATCTTACAATAAGGGCTAATTGGTCTTTCCAGTTAAATGCATATATAATAGTAGGTAGTTTTTTTATGGCATAAGCCGGCAAAAGAGTAGATGTATCACCTGATGGTAAGCAATCGGCGTCGCCCTGGAACACCAGAGGCGTTACAAGTGCGTTACCGGCTTTTTGGGGATTAGGAGTTTGAGGATCGTTGGGGATACAGTGATTGGGGAGATTGGGGAAGGGGAGGGTAGTTGGGCCTCCGGTAACCTCACTCACACAAGGCAAGAGTTGCTTCACGTCGGTTTTCTGTGAGACCGTGGTATCACTCCGGTCGAGCCGGCCCATTCGTGCCGAAGCATGACTCTCCCACACTTATTAGTTATTAAGTTTCAGGAGGCCAAAAACTCCGACAGTGTGTCTAACCACGAATCAATGTGTATCATAGTGGGTTGTGGTTATATGACCCTCACTTCATATCAGTAAATCTACCTAATTATACAGTTACAAATATGTCTAACTAAGGTAGACATACAGTTATTATTTCATATTATTTATGTTTTACAATTATGGAAGAACAATTTAGGTACAGAGATGACACAGTTAAGCAATTAATGCGGTTATTTCCATACTATAAGATTTATTTTTGTAGTTCATAGCACATAATGATAACATCGGTAGGGCGTAGGGTCACTGATGTTCGTGTGATATAATGTTCTCATTGAAGTTCTGTCTTATTAGAATAAAATAGGTAAATAACATAACAATGCCTCTAGGCTTTAAGGCTCTTTTTGCTTTGGTAGTACATAACATACATAACATCACGCCTTTTATCCCCGAAGGGGTAGGCAGAGTGCACACAGAAGTAACACCCACTTTTCACTATTTATGTTACGAGTCCCATGTAATAGGGGGTGAGCATAATGCCATATACCGGCCATATTTCCAGATTCCGTGCTACTACTAAGATTTTTTAGAAACCCAGTAATACTTTGCCCGACCTGGGAATCGAACGCGAGACCCCTTGCGGCGGTCGCACTTGCGACCAGTCGGCCATCGAGCAGTCAGGCTTTGGTAGTGTAAGTGCATAAATGAAATGTAAATAGAAACTACTTTTCGTCAGTCATTTTATGAAGCCTATGTAATAGGTAGCGAGCGACTCTATTGCACGATAAACCTAATGAGATTAAACACCGTACGCGCAATTACTGCATCGAAAACTAAAATTAACTCAATAATACTTTTACCTGATCTGGGTGTAGCGATTGAGGTGATAATAATATTCATGTTATAGGATAGGTCTGCATACGTATTGTAATCACCTAAAATGATTGTGTTGATGTTGATAGTTGATACCAAGAATAAGAACCCCAATTAAAAAAAGACGTACAATTGACGTAAATCGTGCCTCTATCTGGACGAAGGTGGTACCTGTATTTGTATTTATTCAAATATTATTCCTATTTTCAATGTATTGTATATAAGTGTCGCTTTGCTGTTTCTGTTTCACGAGTCGTGTTGTGCGATGAGCATTACTTTGCATCTTTATCAGCTTCGTGCTATTTTCGTATATCTCGCTCTGCGAACTTCTTTGTCATTTATATTCGAATGTATTATTCACTCAAATACTCATTGTATCATATCACAGTGATTTAACAATAATACAACCATTGTGCCTAAATACAATGAGCTGGAAAAAGCTTATAGCTCCATTTTTCTCATTAATGTTATACGTAAATACATATTTAAAATGTGATTACTGTGGTACAAGATAAGGCTAATGTAGATTTGAAGCACCGATTAAATATTGAACGGTGGCGTATACAATTTATTACAGTTAATACAATTGTTTGATGTTCCTGGGCAAATGTGCTTAATTACAATGACATTTTCAAGCTTGCCAATTACGTGCCATATTATGTAAAATGTTCGCTCAAGCGAAGAGATCTTTATAATGATTGCCGAACTACATATGATGTTCTCATGGGCATTGAATGCAAATGACTTGCGAATTGCAATAACTAAACATGTAATATTTATGTAAACTGTCACCTAGCCAGATCTCGGTGCTGTCTTTTTTATTGAAGAAATCTATTTTACCGAATTTCTGTTTATGTCTAATTGGTTGCGATTCCAAATATTGACTAACAGATTCTAGATGTTTACGTTGTGCACCTTAATTTTTACCATTTCAAAGTATTCCAATTTTGCTCTAAGCAGAGTCCGAAACGGGCAAAATTTACCTTGGAATAATAAATGGCGTAACTTATCGGTTCTCAATCAAAAAGTTTTTGTCCTATCTAATACCTTTAATCCACATTAATAAAACTTTTCTCCATCGATAATTTATTTCTGGATTTCTTTAAGAAAGTAACAGATATCAAATATACAAGTATGTAACGTAATTTTCCAGGACGATGAGCGTCGCTACGTGGATCTCACGACCTTCGGGTTCTTCAAGGGTGGTGTACTCGATGTCAAGTTGGTGGACTTCATGATGCCGTCAGGTCCTGTTTATGGAGAGGTAAGATAATTGTAATAATGTCAAGTATACAGATCATAATATAATACTTTTTTATCAACAAAGGTAAACTGTATCGTAGTAATTTTAGAACTATGAAGAACTATGCTTCGGCACGAATCGGCTGACTAGGCTGGCAAGAGATAAGTACATAATATGGCCTGAAGAAAACAGCGCATGCATTGTGTTTGACTTTAACAGAAACTCAATTTTCTCCCTCATCTTCAATCTGAAGAACACAAACAAAACACTTGTAATTTCTTAAAATAAAATAAGTAATGGAAACGTTACTCAAAAACATTTCTACGAATTTCGCTCGTCGATCGATTCTTGAAGTAATAACAAGTAATAACACGGAATATAGAATACCTATATTCCGTGAGTAATAAGGTGACCGTATAATAATCGGGAACTATCATATCTATTACGAACTGCTGGGTCATATTGATCAGTAATGCAGCGATGCAATCGTTCGTAATAAAATTGACAGTACCAACCTATTTAGTATTTGATTTGAGCTTCTCTATCGATTATTATTGAACTTTGTTATGCAGATGTTATTATTGTTATTCTATACGAAGATCGACGACCGACGTCTTTTTCCCTGTGTTGTTGCATTTACGGACTTGTGACTTTTGTGGACCTTTGAAAGAAATGTTCTAGACGGGATTTCGGCGCAGTATTCACCCAGCTACATCCGCTGATGTCAAGGCTTATTTGATTACTAGCTTCCAAACGTAACCTCGCTCGCGTTTATAAAGGGAAAAGCTAATTCACCCTCCTAACTTTCTTCAAACTCAAAAATGCGCGAATGCAATATTCAAGATAAATAACTTCCCTAATATAAACTTCAACTTCGCAATTAAGTGTTCTCATTCAGAAAAAAGAAATACTTACGTAGGTATCGCATTAAACAATAGCGCTAGTACACCTTTGTTATGCTGCCAATCATTCTGGTATCTATTTATTCATCGATTCGTCCTATTTACTTAGATGGGAACAAACCTTCTTGTGTTAGGTTATTGACAGGGCTATTCACGTCAGGTTATTGATACAAGTGGATACAACTGTGTACATAATAATAATATACGTATTTATAGGTATAAGTATCGTGAATGGGCGTTATAGAAGTAGGGAGGTATTATTCTAATATATTGCTTTACTTCATGTGATTTTAATACTTGAAATTGGCACTTCTGCCACCACCAAGTTCAACGTCAAGTGGCACGGCTGCTTGACGGTTCAGGCCATTCAGGCCATTCAGGCCATTTGCGATCCTCCTTTAACTTCGATGTGGGTACAACTAGTATCTGAATTTTCTGGACCCAAACAGGCAATAATAATAATACATTGCCGCAAGCAGGCCATGTTTATACAATGTTTATACATTGCCTGCTAGGGTCCACGGTATATTTCGAATTACATTATATTTAGAAGCAGTAGTTTAAGAAATTATAAGTAGGTTCATATTTCTTAGAATTACGAAATCAATGCCACAATAAAAACTGGTACAGACTGTCAATTTGAATAATTAGATTCTATTCAAATTATGCTCCCGCTTGCTGGATACGCCTGTTCTATTTCTGACCGATTTTTTTGAATATTTTAATAACATACGTAAAACAAGTTATTTAACAAACAGCACATTTTTATTTATGAAATTTAAATCTCTCGATCGATTTCGATCATGATGGCAAGTATAACTAGACTGGCCCAAACTAGATATTATAGTACACAAGTGTGTGCGCCGACTCTGAACCCGATGGGACTGCAGATCGACACGACCGGATAGAGATCAGGAACAGGACTAACGATTTTACGTACTTTCCGAGGTAGGGGATGAAATACCGCTAAAGTTCCTGAATCCGGGATAATAATGGTCATTTTACTTAAAAAATGCCATTCGGTTCACTTTTTAGTCGGCACGGGAATCGGACCCGGTGCATACCAGCCGGTCACCCAATCACTGTCCCAAGGTTATATTCAGCAATAGCATAATATACTAATATTACTCTGTTTTTGATTACAGTACGGGTTCACGTTAGACCGGACGATAAATGCAGCAATAAGTCCGTACCTAGCTCAGTCTACCTCCGCAACCTGTTACCTCAAGGAGACCGACACCAACATACTGTCGCCGCAGCATCCAGCAATCGTCTTTCTGAAGATGGACTTCAAGAATCTCAGGTCTGTATATCACTAGCTGTGTGTACTGTGTTACAGCAGACCATAACATATTTATCTCTATAATTACTCTTTTCGCTACTGTCGTATTAACAGCAGATTAAGGAATGGCACATTTATCAGAAGCCGGGCAGTAGCGCTCTCTGGAGCCGCGAAAGACTTAACGGGTTGCCGGGGCTCCGGCTCGAAGTGCTGGAGTAGGAACGGGGTGCTTTTTAGTCAGTAAGAGTCTGACACTCCCTCTCGCCTCACCCGGGCGGGAAAAGTCATTGCATGATTTACTCTAAAAAAAAGCGCTCTGTTAAACCTGAACTTTTAAACTGCGATCACCAACCCGCTTGCCAAATATGAAGATAATCATTCTTATGTAAAGCAGACATTGACATCGAAAATTTTTAAACGCCTCTCACTTCTTAGTTCTTCATTTCAGCCAAATTTCACCCACTTCTGAGTACCAATAGACATATAGACCTCTCCCTTTTCTGCCATACTCCTCTATTCTATTCATCCCTCTTTCATCTGCCTACAGAGATGCTGACACGATATAGTACACTCAACGCGTTCTTGGACAAAGTTGGTTCATTAGTTCCTTGGTTCTAGTCGCAGTAATTAATCGCAGTTATCCGATATATTTGGTCCATATTATGTCATATTATTTGCTTTTTTTTCGTACGAAATTGCGGCTTTTGTTCGAAATAGAAGATTGTATGAGTGATAGCGTATTGATACAGTTACATTTATATAGTATGGCCTTTGTTTGGTCAGCGATAAGATCTTTATTTATTCGACAATGTCCTGAGTTTACTAGGAGTCAGGTCAGACATATATAATCTATATGTATAAAAATGAAACCCGTTTCCCGTTGTCACGCCATAACTTGAGAACGGCTAGACCGATTTGGCTGATTTTGTTGTGTTTGTTATTGTCAGGAGAAGGTTCTTATGACAGAAAAAAATCCTGAAAATCCTACGGGAATGGGAGAAAACGGGATTGCGCGTACGAAGTTGCGGGCAGCTAAGTGAAGCTAGTGTTATTCTCATTTCTCAGATATTTAAACAAACTCTTGTTATTTATTTTTCTTTTTCTCCTCTTATAATATCTTCTGATTCACTTTGTTGCGGGAATTAAGACAGTTACTCATGTCCTTGAGACGCCTCGGACTTCAGTGTTTAGGTGTTTTCATGGTTGTATCTACTGTAGATCCTGGCTTACAGGAGTTGCAGCGGTTTTGGGAGGTTGTGGCGGGCTTGTCCCATTAAAAAAACTCTTGTTTTTTTTCTTATTATAATCAATCACTATGGTTTATTACTTTTTTCGCCGTGATTGTATTCGTTAATTGCTCAGTAACGTGCTTAGAGGTGTGCTATTGAAGACACTTAACTAAAAGTTACTTAGCGTGATGTAGCACCTAAACCAACCCCTTACTTGTACTGCCAGGTGCCACTTATAAGTTGGTGAAAACTAAAATGTTGCTAAATGTCACCTATAATAGCTTAGGGGTTCCTTATTTAGGAGAGGTTGATGAAAAGAGTTGGGGTATTAGTTGTTTAGTAAGTAATTAATGGATGATCAGAACTGGGCTGATGATTATGATAGCTTATTCAGAGTAATCAACCCGTTCTGTTTTTGTTGTGCCACGTCTCGCAGGTTAGATTCCAGCGTCGAGAAAAACTGATATTTTTATTTATATTGCCCCCCCACACTAGGATTTTCTCATGTGTCGTGGGTGCGTTTACAAACATATAACGTGCGTTCACATACACATGACATCTAGATACGAAACAACAATCTGTGGATCACACAAAGAGTTGTTCCGTGCGGGAATCGAATCCGCAACACGTTGCGCGGTAGTCAGTTGCCCAACCACCGCGCCAACCGTGCAGTCAAATGACATTTTCTGAGTAAAATTTAGCTCGGAGTCAGATAGTTTTCAGCGGTGTTTCCACCCCCGTGTCTTGGAAAGCACATAAAGCCGTTGGTCTTCCGTGCCATCAGTTTCAGAAAGTGATGATGAAGAGAGTGCATCTGTGTTTGTATCCACATTTGTGCACTATAATATCTGCTGCGTAGTGGGCTAGTCTAGCGAGACTTACCACCTTGCCACAATGATCGAAATCGATCGGGAGGTGTCATTCATGGTTGCGTTAATTCGAAATATTTTTTTAATTTCTTAGTTCATATCAGTCATTCGTACCAAGCAATTTCTATATTGTATCAAGGGTATAGTACAGCTGTACAAATATTCATTCTATGAATTGTAAGTATCACACATTGTATTATAGTAACGTGTGACGTGTTGGGTAGAATAGAGACTTCAAGATTTAACCTACAATAATATCAACATTATTGATGACAGTATGTCTGCCGTTGGAACTCTTAAAAATCTCTTTAAACGCGTACTAATAATATTATCCCTATATTTCGAACATATATTATTCGGTATTTTAATGTAAGGCTCCATTTGTCCTGCGCTGCGTTGTGTTGCGTCGTCGCAATAAAACAACGCATTGTTTTGCGGCGCACCACCAGGATTGCGGCGACGCACGACGGTGCAACTGCGTCTCAGATGACTGTCCATCACTACCGCCTGCTTCGTCTCTTGTCCGTCGATTCGTTGAATATAGTACTCGACGATGCAACGGTGTAATGGGGCATGCCATAAAACTATATTCATTTTTATCTGTATGAACAAGGGCCACGCAGAAATCGCTTCATTGAGCTGACAGAGACTTACCAAAGAAATTGATTACAGTTGCGCATAGCACTTATAGTTCATGTGTTTGGGTAATTAACTAAATGTAAACAATTTTAGCACAACTTCTATATTACAATAAAAAAAATTAATTAAAAATAACGATGCCAATAGAAAAGCTATTTGCAACCTAATGTGTTAGTTAAATAAAGTTACTTTTACAAACGCCTTATTTTGATTTGTTGTTTTAAATGTTGAGCCGAGATTGTTTGTTTTTAATTAAATTGGCTAAACATATGGGCTGTAAACTTGCATGGAAAGAATTCCCACAATATAGCCACTGAGTTGGTTTCGATATTTCTACTTAGAGTAATCAGATAAAAAATGATAGCTTAGTTTAAAAATGTTGAATTGTAAAGTGCTATTTTACACTCCGCTTAAGAGCAAAGAAACGCAGCCACTATTTTTTCTATATTTTTTTTTCCTTTTACAACTACATGATCTCTTTTTAAACGTAACTAAATTGCCCTTTATACGACAGATACGAAAGATTAGTATTTACCAAGAAATGAAAAGAAAAAAATATTTTATAGCTCTATATCTTTGCTCCCAACTGTACATATTTGTGTTTATTTTAATCTTTGTTTTGATTATTTTTTATTTGTTACAGATTAAACGTGACATGCAAAGCGAAAGTGTTACATATGTATGAGAACAGATCTTCAATACCAGACAGTAAGTTGCAATATTTTCATTAATATTATCTTTTTCTTTAGCGTCTTCTACTTTACTCTAATGACAAGCCTTATCACACAAGACTGCTTTCTTTCAATTGAGTGAGATCAAACTACTGTAGTTATATTATTGGTCCCAGAGCTCCTATTGGTCGTAGCGTGATGTTTTATAGCCTATAGCCATCCTCGATAAATGTACTATGCAACACAAAAATAATTATTCAAATCGGACCAGTAGTTCCGGAGGTTGCGCGATCAAACAAGCATACAAGCATACTCTGCAGCTTATTAGTAATATAGATGAAGAAGAACAAGAACATTAAATGCTCATCATCATTTCAGTCACAAAAAGTCCGTTGTTAATCGTAGATCTCCCAAAAAGACTTCCAGAAAGGCTTAGATAAAACTTGCATCTAACCCAAATCTACATTAAAAAAATTGGTTGCCTGTAAAGTCGGTATACGGGCGAAAGTTCTACGTGACAACGACTTTGAGTGGTAAAATAATTTTAATGTGAATATTCATTCGTATAGTAGGAAGAAGGATGAAATAATAGTAACAATTTAAAACATTTATTTATACAAAGAATTATATTTAAAACATTAATTTATACAAAGAATCTCGCACTGAATTTTCACTCTCTCTCTCTCTCTCGCTCTTAGGCGGGCTAACTGAGCTCGAGTGGAAGGGACGCGTGCCTTTCACTTTTTATGTCTGTCTCTCTCGCTCTTAGGCGGGCTAACCATGCCCGAGTGGAAGGGACGCGTGCCTCTCACTCGCTCTCATTGTGAGCGCATAACGTGAGCGGAGCGTAACGCAGTTTCTTGAAGTGTCACCCGGCAAACCAATTTATAAGACGTTGTCACGTCAAAAAGTTTACTAACGTAAAGTATAAGTAACGGTATTTATCCTAATTTATCAATTTGTTTATTTTCAGCTATACCAACTGAGGAAAAGTGTTCGTACACAATGTTACCGATTACAAAGGAGACGAGGAATGGCTTCGACTACTATAATACTAGCGTGAGTATACCCTTTTACCTATTAAACGTCTGATTATAAAAAATAAAAAAATAACGTTACGCCTTTAATATCCGAAGGGGCAGGCAGTGGTGCACATTACGGCACTTAATACCACTGTACAATGTAACACCAACTTTTCACTATTAATGTGTTGAGTCCCATGTAATAGGGGGTGAGCCCATTGCTATATATCAAACACAATTCCAGACTCCCTGCTATTACTGAGATTTTTGTAAGAAAACCCAGTAGTACTTGGCTCGACCCGGGAATCAAACCCGAGACGCCTTGCACGGTAGTTGCACTCGCGACCACTTCTAACGAGGCATCTACGTAAAATCAGTCACATAGATTTCCCATAACTGAAAACTGTGGAATGATCTGTCGTTGATAAATCAACTAAAAATCGCGGGTTACTCACGTGAATATACTGAGAAAAGCTCTACTAGTTTCGAACAACAGACGGGGTTCTTCCTCATGAGCAGCTGGCGCGGTCGCGGCGATATTGCGCTCTAATACGTAGCCGCGACGCGCCAATATATTCCCGTGAGTAACCCGCGATTTTTAGTTAATGTAGTAAGTCTCACGATAGTTATTATAAAAATAACAACTGACTAATTTTCGTATTTTATGTATTAAAACTTAAAATGTTGTAATGTCATATTTCAGTTTGCGCTGTACGTGGCTACTGATAAAGAAGAAGGTCTCTACAATCTCTACTTCAACAATTGTCCGAACCCCGACGCCGGCACGACGACTGCAGTCAACATGATTGTGAGTTCGATAATTGTAGCCTAGTACCTTTACTATTAAACAAGTACCATTAACGTGTTGCCAGGGCTCCGGCTCGAAGTGCAGGAGTAGGAACGGGGTGGTTTTAGTCAGTAAGAGTCTGACACTCCCTCCCGCCTCACCCGGGCGGGAGAAGTCATTGGATGAATTGCCCCACTCAAAAAAAAAAGTTATACATATACTGTGTGGTCATGGCAGACTAGAATCCATATTTCAGCACCTTTACTCTTCTAAAAGTAATACTAAAACGACTTGAAGATGACAATTTTGACGGCACGATTGGTGTAGCGCCTGGACAACCGGCCGCAACATGTCCTGGTTTATTTATTACCCCCACCCGGAGCAACTCTTTGTGTGATCCACAGATTGTTGTTACGGGTCTGGGTGGCATGTGTATGTGATTTGTATGTTTGTAAATGTACCCACGACACAGGAGAAATTCCTTGTGTGGGGCAACGTTATTTTTTAAAGAAAAATCTTTTTTAAAGTTTTATAATTTGTATTACAGGTGGAAATCTACGAGAGTAATGCTGGTAACTTCTTATCAGCAGGGGAGATGCCACTTCCAGCGTTATACAGCATGATGTCACTCATTTTCCTAACGTGTGCTGCCCTCTGGACTTTTATTCTGCGAACTAGTCGACAGCCTGTCTACAGGATACACATCATTATGTGTGTCCTTGTCTATTTGAAGGCTCTCTCTCTTGCTTTTCACGGCATTAACTACCATTTTATTCAGACGAAAGGCGAACATGTTACTGCTTGGGCGATTCTCTTCTATATTACGCATTTGTAAGTACAAATAAATTGTAACAATTTATGAATCTAATCAGCTTTATTGCAGCGCAAAAATAAGGATATAAAATATTAAGTGAAACAAGGAGAACAAGTAAATTTATTTCTGCCTTATAGGCTACTTTTACACGTCAATTTTATCAAGCGAATGATGAGGCAGAAATAATGATCATTTTGGACATATTTTTGAATAAACCTGATGTCATAAACAGGCACATTCACTAACGTGACATACTAGGGAACATTACTAAATATTGATTTATTTAAAATGCCCGTCTACACGCGTCAAGAACTGAGAAAAGCTGTACAAGTTTCAGGCATTTTAAATTAATTTTGTACTCTCCTAACACGATCACCTAATAACATGTGGGGCATGTGCATAGGTATATGTATGTATGTGTAGCGTTAAGTGTCCACAGTTACAGTACTCTAATTAAATTCATTCGAAGTCTGAAAACTGAGCGTTTCACTAGTGTTCAATATATCTATACCTCCCGACTCGCACACCACATAACTACACACTAACAAACAATTACTAAATATATTTGAACAGAAAGCCCTCAATAATACTTCGTCCGGTCCAGCGACTGATTTAATAATCAAATTTTTCAGATTGAAAGGAGCGGTGTTGTTTGTGACCATTGTACTAGTGGGCACCGGCTGGAACTTCATCAAACACATACTCTCTGACAGAGACAAGAAGCTCTTCATGATTGTAATACCTCTGCAGGTAAATTTGCCCTTGTACTATTTTTGGAAAAATCACCCATGTGATCCGAAATCAGGCTCCCCAACTAGCCTTCTAAGTGTAAAGATTATGGCAAACCCCACTTATAAGTGGTCCAGCCATTCCAGATATTACTTAGTACAAACAGACATACAGCCAGATAAAATATGTAAAAAATGTTATTTTGGTATGTGTGTCGTATGTATATTCATATGCATGTAGTAAAAAGCGGTCATTTCAACAGACACTCCAATTTTATTTATCTGTATAGATAGTAAATATTCTTCTCTTTTGCCTTTCATCAAATTGAAAGTAAGGTTTCTGTTTATTTTATAGGTTTTAGCGAACGTAGCAGAGATAATACTGGCGGAGAGCGAGGAAGGTGCTGCGGAACATAACGCGTGGCGCGACATCTTTGTACTGGTGGAGTTGCTCTGCTGCTGGGCAATTATGTTCCCTGTTGTATGGTATGTATATTATATTAATAGAGCCTTTAAACTCAAACTGAACAGCATTTATTTCAATTAAACCATACTTTGGTACTTTTGAAACGTCAATAAATATAAAATAAATAATAGTTTGTCAGTGAAACTAAACAAAAATTCAGATTCGAGTGGAAAATAACGAGCAAGAAACTCCATTCGTTACTCTTTTAAAAAAGTCTGTTTTACAATGTCTCTGATACATATTCCAATATTGTACATGTAAGTGAAAACAACGTAAAGACACGCTTGACGCATAATACAAATTACAGAACTTACTAAAATAAAAAACAAAGATCATCAATCTCCACCCCCACCATTATTAGAGGGTTGCGGGGCCATGCTTCGGCTTGAATCGGTCGGCTCAACCGGAGTGATACCACGGCCTCACAGAAAACCGACGTGAAGCAACGCTAGCGTTGTGTTTCGTCGTGTGAGTGAGGTTACCGGAAGCCCAATTACCCTCCCCTTCCCCAATCTCCGCAATCCCTGAATCCCCAACGATCCTCAAACTCCTAATCCCCAAAAGGCCGGTAATGCACTTGTAACGCCTCTGGTGTTTTAGGTATCCATGGGCGACGCCGATTGCTTACCATCAGGTGATCCGTCTGCTCGTTTACCGGCTTATACTTATACTTTTACATAACACCTTACTTAAACAAGTACAATCTTCTAAAAATGAAGTCCCGACGTAAGCTCCACCTGGCATGTCTCCTCTTTGGTGTGATTAAGTACAAGTGTCCAGTATACCTCTACTCAAAGCTCTCGTGGGTGAATGCTCATCGGCAGCGGGAGGGTAGGCGGTGTGCACAACAGCTGGCTATACCGCAACACAAATCGGCTGCTTTTCGGGGTAGTTTCCGATATGCAGCTTCTAAGTGCTGGAACAACATACCTCCGCCAATCAGGAACCTGCAAAGCACTTTCACTTTTAAAAGAAAACTCAAGGAGTTTATTATTAACTCTCAAATTGGGAATGAATCTATAAATATTGACATTTCGGTTATTTAATCTGACATTTATCCTTCTTATTATTTTATTCGTTTAACTGGGTACACAAATTATGTTAGTCACATTTTCATATTGATTTATTTTTATAATTATAATTACCTAGCTTATACCCGCGGCTTCGCTCGCGTCACAAAAGGATAAAAAGTAGCCTATGTGATATATACCAATACACACAGCGCCATCTATACCAATACTTTTGTTTTCCCTCAAGATTACAAAATTTTTCCGGGATTAAAAATACCCTATTATTTAATCCAGACTTCTAACTTTACGTCTGCAAAAATTCAAAGCAATCGGTTTAGTAGTTCGGCGTAAAAGCGGAAGAAACAAACAAACAAACAAACTCACTTTCCAATTTATAATATTATAGTAAGGATTATTACTTTCACTATTACTGTAATGTAGGATATCTCACAAACTCACCCCTTGTTGTTGCGGCAGATCTGGTGAAGTGTCGACCTGCTCGCTTTAACTTCTTGCAATGAGTGTCGGGCTACGCGATAGCTTCACGACCACAACCTATCCACACTATTTTAATTGCCGTGATATATGTAGTTTATATAAAAAAAAAATTTTCGGTAACGTAGAACTTGTTTATGTATGTATACTTATTTTTTATTTGTTTATTTATTTATCGCACAATGTGCATAGAGGTCTGTGTTTAAATTTCTTCCTTTTCTTTTATTGTTATTTTTTTTTCTTTTCATGTGTCTTATGTATTCCTATTATTTTTCGTTGGGTACCAGTGTTGCGTACTTACTGTGCCCAGCTTACACTGAGTTGGCGAGCCCTTTCGTCGTGGACATGCTGCCACCCTGTTTCTTTTATTTTTCTTTTTTTATAATGTTTTTTTTTGCAATTATTGTTTTTTTTTTTCTTATAGTGTTTTCATTTTTCCAATGTTTATTTTGTGTGTTCATATTCGGTGGTCCATGTCTGATGGCGAATAAATTATTTTCTTATGCTATAAAAAATAGCTAACTATATACTAACTGTATCTTCCAGGTCAATACGTCACCTGCAGGACGCGTCGAGTACGGACGGCAAGGCGGCCATCAACCTGCGCAAGCTGAAGCTGTTCCGACACTTCTACGTCATGGTCGTCTGCTACATATACTTCACGAGGATCGTCATATCCATATTAAATGTAAGCTGTACTGTTCATCGTCATAATTCCACAGTTAGGCCTTAAAACACCCTTGCCTTGCCTGGTTTCTTGGTGAAGTAGGCTGATGTATAGAGCAAAAATATACGGATATATGAAACTGATAGAGAGCATCTTAGATGCAGCAATCTGCGACTAGATAGACAACTCTCAATCAAAGTGCTAGCAGAAACAGACTTATGAATGTAGATTAAGAGCAGGAGATGGAACGAGATGGTTTTTATTTAAAGTTTAGTTTAGTAGTTTAGCTGTACTTAAATATCGTGCCATCTCTTACTTAGTATTTAAGCGCCACTATGAGCGGCTTTATACAGTGGCTTTATAGAGCGGCTTTATACAGCGGCTATGATTCTCCTAGTCCTGGAATGTTTTGACACAACAGAAGAAACGTGTACTGATAATGTAGTTCCAATTTGCTTGCTGTTATTATTGAAAAACATGAATAATTCTATAAGAAAATTGGACATCATTTCAGATCACAGTGCCATTCCAGTACGCGTGGATAGACGAAATGTTCCGAGAGATGGCGACACTGGCGTTCTTTGTTATGACTGGCTACAAGTTCAGGCCGGCCGCTGCCAATCCTTATTTCACGCCAACACATGTCGATGATGTGGAGCCACAAGTGTAAGTATACAGTTAAATACACATAACATCAAAACCCGTTTCAGTTCCCTGAATTATAGACATCCCTCGCTACGGGATGACGACGATGGGGACGTGGCTTGACGGTTTTGCCGAGCTCAAGAAATATATTACATTTTTTACATTTTTACATTCTGTTCCGCATTGTACATAAGATCATCGTCATAACATCTCGCCTATTATCCCCGAAGTGGTGGACAGAGGTGCACATTACGGCATTTAATGCTGTATAATGTAACACCTACTTTTCACTATTTATGTTATGAGTCCCATGTAATATAGGGTGAGCCTATTGTCATATACCGGGCACAGTTCCAGACTCCGTGCTACGACTGAGAATTATTTTAAAAACCCAGTATTTCTTTGTCCCACCCGAGAATCGAACCCAAGACGCATTGCCCCAGCAGACACACTTGCAATCACTCGACCAACGAGGCAGTTGTACTTACATAAGATGGCTTGTCATAATATGAACGCTTGGAAGGAGGAGGATATCACAGATAAGGAGGTTCAGCTATATCAGAGAGTATTAGTCTGTAAATTTTAAACACCCGTGGCAATAGTAGTGTTCACATTCGAAGAACCGATGACTGTAGGGGTAGACGTATTCTGAATTGAAGATCGCGTCTAGGTAAACGTAGTGTAGGGCGTCTCTTCAACTCGGTGAATTGACGTTATATACAAAGTTGGCAGTAGTAGATATTAAGAACTGAAGAGGAAACGAATTAGCGTGGAACTTAGAAACGCTTGTGGACGAAAACTGGCTGATGAGGGTAACATGTTTGTATTTTTATGAATGTCGTGGTGGCCCTCAAATGTCGTGGTGGCCCGAAGGTTTAAGACGCCCGCTTCTCATGCATGAGGGTACAGTTTCGAAACCTACCAACGGCAAGTGCCAATGTGACTTTTTCCGAGTTATATGTGCTTTCTAAGATTATCTAGACACCACTGACAAACGGTGAAGGAAAACATAGTGAGGAAACCTGTGCTTATAATTTCTAATTATAAGTTTGTAATCGCCAACCCGCATTGACCAAGCGTGGTGATTAATGCTCAAAACCTTCTCCATGTGAGAAGAGGCTTTGCTCAGCAGTGGGCATTTATAGGCTGTTGATGATGAATCGAAACGAGACCTCTCTCGGCGCTGTGATTGGTTATTTCAGGGTTAGGCTGTTGATGATGATGATGAAGATTTTTATGAATATTTTTCATTCACAGACTCTCAGACATCGGTGTACTTGAAGGAGTGACGCGGATAGCGAACCGAGGCGATAGGAAACGAGAAGATCTACAACCGTTAATGCAGGAAACTAATTACAATTCTGATTAGATGTAAGTCTACTATTATATAATTACCTGTAAGTGACGGCTTGCCGACGTTCTAGTGAAACGTTCATAAAAACCTCGAAATCATTTGTTACTTATATCATGGTTCTATAGGATACTCCATTTTACTTATCCCTATGGCACCCGTACTGTAATGTCGAATATACCATACACTTAAACTTCTATTTCTGTCTAATTCAGTAGCTAAGTTACCTTTGTCTTTATGTGAACTTAATATTTTTAAAGTATTGAGAAAGGAGAAGTCAAACGATTTCAAATCTCATAATATTTAGCGGTATAATTATAATTGTTTATACTTAAATACATATTATATTGTCAAATGTTAGGTATACCGTGTCTATGTAAACGAATATCACTGATATGACGTTTTTAAAATGTCAATTTGTTATACAAGGACGTTTTGTCCTTTATATTGTACTTGTAGAATATGTTCAATGTTGATCATCTGTTGAATACCTCACTTCATATTAATTACCTTTAAAATCATGACAAAAGTAATTTACAAGATTTCGTTATCGTAAGATCGGAAATAAAGGCCAAAATAGTTCATTCACGACTAGTCTTAAAAAGTCGTCTACAATTTTTTTGTACATTCATTATTTATGTGTTCAAGTTACATTCTGTCCACGGCTTGAATATATAGACATGTTTATCTCACAAATTCTCAGAGCAGGAACGAACAGAGGAGATACGACTAAATTAACCAATAAAATCTAAAAGATTGAAACTACTGTATAAATATGACTGGATTTCATAGTATATTACAAATACAGATATGTAAAATATTATAATAACTAGTAATTGCTAGGGGTTAACGATACTGGTCCTTTGACTTAAATTCCTGGGTTAACGCCCATACTTAGTAATTATTGTATTTAAACCATGTCCACTAAACATACTTATAACAATACATTTAAATACATATTCGTGATACTTACATGTTCCTTGTTGAAAGTACGCTCCAAATTGGCACATTCAATTTGGTATTTTTATATGACGGGTTATCAGTACAAAAAGTACTAAAACGATTTCATTTTGGAAGTAATGTGACTTTTAGTATCTGGGGCATGGCAGTGCAAAACCAGATGCAAGACATCATTGCACCAATCTGTCGCCAGAACCGCTGTTTATTCAATCAACTTTTTTCACTTTTCCATCTTCAATGGGTTCAACGGCCAAGCCGGCACAACATTAACTATAATAATAAAGAAATCTCAGTAAGGAACCTTAGATTTGCCACGACTTTGTCTAGATTTGATTACTTTTTCGAGGTGAACGAGCAACTCTATCGAGGCTTGGCTAGTTTTTTACACAATGTTTTGGATTGAAAGTTACTAGAGTTGTAATTGTAATGATATTAAATTGTGTTAAATTATTAGGTATAATGCAAACTTTATCAATTAAATAACAAAACCGATATTAATAAGCTTTTACCACAACGCCAGTAACTTTAAATACCAAAGTGACAGTATTCTTCTCAAATGAAATCGAGTATAAATACACTGTCAGTATAATTGACCTCTGACTAGTTTATGCATAGGGGGCTATCGCAATACTCCCGTGTGCTCTAAAGATCTTTAGACTATCTGACCATGTCAAGACATTGTACCACTAACTTAACAGCTAACTGTTGCTGATCTTTGGGTGATGAACAGGATCGTATGAGCATAAGTATCAGTGAGAGTTCATGTTATACTGGATAATGTAGTCTGATATACAGTCGGTAGTACTTTCGACAAGGAAAACTTAATGCTAGTCCTTTTCGATGGCATTTCTGTACATTAACACGTGCAGTCAGCTGCAGAAAAATAAGACTTTCAATGTAAGTAATTTAATTTTAAGACACCTAAACGAATTCTTTTTTTATTTAAGGTAATAACTTTTTATTAAGTACGTTGTTCGGTTATATAAAAGCATGTGTAAAATCAAGACCTCTCTCTATGTGCTGGATTCACTATGCATTTATTTTGATCGAAGACCCGAATGCTATTTGCAAGTACAGAATTTTACTTCTTTTACACTGCACCTTGGGACTCACTGCCAAAAACGGGTATTATACTCTAAAACTGGTTCTTTTCTTGCCCTCTTTGGGAGTAAAAGTCGTGTTTGTTTTATCTACATAGAATACACGAGGGGACACGCTTAATCTCGAGAAGGAAAGTTCACTTTAAAAATTGGTTAATTCTTCGCGCAAATATAAAAAATAATGTCCTACTTTTGCGCAGTAGGTACTTAAGTGTTTTCAAAAAGATATGTTGTACCATTATCTACCGATAAAATAGAAATTACAACTGATTTTTACTACTTCATTATTCATACATTAGATGCACTTATTTCAATATTGACTGATCGATGCTAAGATCGATATTTTCTGTTTTTTTTTCTACTAGGATCATAGCTATTTCTCGTCCTCTTGACACCTTATGTCAAGCCATTGAATTGACTTAGAATTGAAGAGCGTCATAAATAAAATCATAGCTGTTTCTTACAATAAAATCTTTTAATTAATTTCTTGGCCTACAGAATCATAAAATCGTATTTCAAGTAAAAACATATTTCTGAAACTCATTTTCATAACTTGAAAGTCATTAGACCTTTGTTATAATAAAATATTATTTTTAAAATAATCTGGTAGAATATGAAAAGTAGATAGAAAATGTAATAATATCGGTCTTAAGTCCCAACTACTTTCATTTCAGCATCGAAATATATTTAACGGACATTCTGAGAATGTGGTCAATTTGAAAACGGTTTTTTGTAATAGTCTATTTTTTATTACAGAAAGCTCCTAACAGGTTTCGATGCTGAGTGAAACAAAAACCTTTATAATGTTAAAATTGAGTCATTATATGTTAAGGCTACAGAAATGTCCCATTACTATTATCGGCTAGATTAAATGACATATCAAGTATGTCATTTTACCAGTTTTATATAAAACATAGTGATGTCTATTAAATTATTTATAATATTGATACATTTATAAGGGATTATATAAATCTATTCTTCGTTAAAAAACATGTTATAAATATCCCTCGATAAAGTGTGATGATATGACCATGCTTGTTTATGCGTCATTATTTATTTCCTCACCAATTTACAGATTTAATAATTATATTTTTTTAGCTTAAATTGTATGTTTAATATTGTTTTTTTTTAATCAATGTGTTAGAAACTATTTAGATGGAATCTTTTGTTTTTTTGGGTTGTGAAATAAGTTTATATTGTATTTTCTTTTTCGAATTTCCCCTTTTGTGACGATTGTTGACTGTTTGTAAATAAGTAAGTATCATGGTGTAATGAATAGTTATGGTAAAGCCTTTCTGTTGTAGATATTGTGCGGAAGATGCGAGGAGTGGTCTCGAGAGACGTTTCAAATGACATGCGTATATTTCGGTGTTCAAGAGCTAGAACCATATTAATTTGAATATTGTTACATATACACGTTCCAACCAATAATATTATTGTATGTGACTTTTCTACTACTTAGCACTGGATCATTATTAAAAGTTTCTTTGAAAATTAATTTTACTTATTCAATTTTAAATACGTTCTATTGTGTTGCGTCTATCTCCAATTGAACTCAATCGTAGATTGTATTTTTTGCATCATCGCTTCTTCTTATATTCTAAACCTTGCTTACTTGCCCTACTGGCTTACATTCACATTCCATGGGATCGATATAAATATAGGCTTACATTATCCCCTTAACTAAGCGGTCTTGGCTCTACTGTAAAATGAAAAGTAATGTACGCATGTCGTTTCTTCGTCGCCATATTGTCTAAGATGATATTTCTCTTCACCGGTTGTTTGTATTGTCCAATCACTTTTATAATAATGGACCAAAGTAACATTCGCTAGACTTACGATTTAATTAGTTGTGAACTATTTACTCCTGTAGGAAGTGTATAATAATTTGATATTTCTCTTTAGCGATAGCTTTTAAGTTTCGTGTTGATGTGACCGCGGTGCGCGATTTTTAATCTGTGGTTTGACCCATGTCAAACTTGTCAGTTTTGACAATCGTTGCCGACTTTTTGTATGAAGCGTAAATATGATTTTATTTTGTTACCAATGAAAATGTAGCTCAATTTGGAAAAATAGAGGTTTAGTAGTATTGTTAACCGTATTATAGTATTCTATTAAGTTTCTAGAAATATTAAGATCCCGGATTCAGTCTTCGCATAGTTCGTTCATGTTGAATGTTACAACTCAGATTGTAAAATAAAATTGCAATTAGATTAAATGAAAAATATGTGCCTACTACTCTCTCATTTAAAAACCCGCGGTCGCTGTCGAATAGTGGACGATCCACCATGATATTTTAGTTCGTAGAAAGTCGAGAATACAACACATTATACACTTTCTACTAGATGAATCACTACTACTTTGTATAGTAACTAAGTAGACGAAATTATGCCCTGTGCGCTTATGTAAGGACCCTGTTTTGTATATTAACAGAATAAAAAAAACGCCTCAATGTTATGAAGGAATGTTGCAAGAAATGGTGCCTGGAGTGTCGTTAATAAATAAAATTGACAATTTTAAGATTGTAAATCTTCATAACGGTCTATACAAATGAGGTTTTCTACTTTTTTGGCGCTTTGTAAACTAATATTTCTTATAATGTTACAATAATGGCGTAAGTAAACTTAATAATGTGCTAGTATTGTACCAAATTGCAATAATAAATACAATAATTATTTATAATTAGTTTAAGCGCTCAACGCATATTGCTTAGTTAGGGCCTCGTTTCGTCAATACTTATTTTGTAGATGAACTGCAAAACGATTTAGATGAATTTGCGTTCTGTATCATAAATTGTACAAAATAAACTGATAACGAATATTTGGTTGTTTTATTTATGTTGAAACTCATTTTTTTCCTCTAAAAATAATAAGAAGTTGTACTTTTTCTACTGATTCAGGTGGGTGTCTTCACACGGAAGTACAGGATAAGCACAGGGTTAGCTTCCACACGAAGGGC